TTGATCTTTGGTTGACGCTCAGACACCAATGTTTTGTAGGAGACCGTCAGACAGAAATGCATTTCTACTCTACTGCGGAGTCACATGAGTGTGGGTACGACAGACTAAGAAAATGGGTGAGAGCGCGAAGCGCTATCCGGCCCCGAATGAAGATCTGCCCGAGAAAAGGTGAGCTGCGAGTCCCCCGAAGTATTAGGAGTTCCCAACGACGCATCGCAGCGACGCCGGAGAAAACCCGACATAGTAGGAGGCGGGGACGACTTACGATTCGAATTAATGTTCACTGCACTCTCGGCATTGAATAACAAAGGAAGTTCTCGTGAAGCGATGGGATGGCTTGCATGTAAGGCGCCATTATCTGGGCATGTTTGCGAAGATATATTTGAAATGCGTCGCTAGCCCAGTGACCTTTGGTCTTGACGACTTCGAACGGAATGTTGCATAGCAAGTATTCTAGAGTGGAACCGATCCGGATACCATGTCCTTGAAGCGGGTCTGAACCTGCAGCTCTGGCTGCTTGCGCTAAACGGCTTATAAACTTCTGTTTCGTTAAAGGTCTGTGTCCGTTTTTGAAGCGATACGAAAATAAGGCGCCTCCGGCAGGAGGTTGGTTAACTCTGAGATGGTTGAGCAGCGCTTCCTCAGGGTCCGAAGGTCCCATTTGTTTCGCAAACGACACATCCTCTCCTTCTCTGGAGGTCTTCATCCGAGGGATACGAAAAACTCTCATCTCCAGGTTGTTGCGGTCACGTTCGACTCGCATATCCGAAGGTTTGATGTGGGCGTTGGGGTCAAATGCTGAGAGGGAAGGGACTGTGAACTCCCCGACCCATGCGGTACAATAAAAGGACGCCGTGAGGCAGCTGAATACTGAGGCGTCGAGCGGTGAGTCTAAGTTGAGATGGTCGCGCAGTGAACAAATGAAATCGATGGTGTACGGGCGACATTTCTTATGTTTCGACGACTGGGGTGTGAGGTTCTCCGAAGCTTTTAGTAACATGTCGATCTGGACGTCGTTGAGAGACCATGTCACACCATGTAGAATGTGCCAGGCTCGGACACCGAAGACATAGTTTGCGATGGTTTTCCCAGAGTATGATCCAGCGGCAAATGCAATGAAGGCGGCGATGAGGGTAGAGGAAGCCGGTGTGCGTTCTGGTTCTGGTATCTCGTGTGAGTCACAGTATACGTAGAAGACGAGGAGGCCTGAACCATAGGATTCGTGGGTGCTGTCTGCCCATGCGTGGCACATGACGTCTTGGATGTGCGTCATGTCTTCTATGGAGAGCGTGTCTGGTTTAGGGCGGGATGTGAACGGGAGCCACAAGCGCAAACATTGCTTGGCGGGACAATGCAGTCGTAACGATGAGGGTCGCGGGCTAAGGTCAGGAGCATAGGCTGCATGGCCGTTAGCACTAGCCGCGGGAGGTCTGAAGTGAAGTGGAAGAAGACCTACTATATCTGCGACGCTTGGAGGAGCTCTTCTCCTTGCCGTTCAAGGGTTCAGTTCTCGAACGCACGCTCAACATCATTATGCTCGGAATGGGTCTTGGGGGACCTGAGAACCGGGACTGGCTGATGGCACTTTCTATGCTCGTTGGGGTGTAGAGGGGCATCGAAGTCGACGACAAAGTCCCGGATGGAGGGAGGGATAGGAATGGGGGGCAAAAGAAGGGAGCAGTTAGGGTACCTGCCGCGTGATGGGTCGTCTGTGGGATTAAGAGCACTAGGGACATAGCGTGTGAGGATGATACATGAAGCGGATTCAGCGGCGCAGTGAATGCGCTTGAAGACAGTGTTAGTTGGACGGTTGCGACTCCGTCCTTTCCACCACCCTTCCACAACTCCTCTGTTGTCTCCGTAAACCTTGAAGCAAGGCAGAGGTTGGGGCTGTGAGTTTTGGATGATGCTGAGGACGAGAAACTCGAAGCCGACGGCTTCGGCCCATCTGATGTCGCGGCTGTCTGCTTTCCACCCTGGGATAAGACGCCATGCGCACCACCAGCCGTTGACCCAAATTGCAATTCCCACGCCTGAGCTAGCATCAGAGAAGGCATTTGGGTCGGCGACGGTACATGGGCCTGGGATGATCCTGCTAACGTTAGGTTGCTGGAGGGAAGCGTACCACCACCTAAGATCGGCGGCGCAGTTCTTTGGTGGGGTGCGAGGAATGAGAGGACGGTCACCGAAGATGGAGAGCATGGCTTCCAACTCGGTGATGTAGGCTCTCCCGGCGGGAACAACGTGAGCGGCGTGTAGCAGCTTTCCGTGAAGCTTTTGGACATCGAGGAGAGAGTGGCGTCATCTAGACTCCCAGGCTGAAATAGCCGCCAAGTACTTCTCCTTTTTGTCCCTTGGGATCTCAAGGGTGTGCGTGTCGATATCCCATGTAAAGCCTGTGAACGGCGGGTCAGAGCGAAATTGAATGTCTTTGGATATCTCCCATGGGGTACCGGTGTAGGACACGAGCTGGCGCTGGGCTCGTATCGAGCTATTTCACAGTACACGCCAAATACCTGTCACATGCTAATCACTTCCCGATGTTATCCGACGCTAACCCGCCAAACCGACGTTTAGGCCGCATCGGACCCGATGTTTTCCCGCGCACTTGTCCTATCCGTGTCCCGTCCCGTCTTGCTAGCCCCACTAGGTGTGTAGTTCATTATTTCGCACATTACTCACGTCGTAGCCAGCGCTATTACATGTTTTCCCATAGTCCGCAGCACCTCATGTTTATTTACATGTACTTCGGATCCGAAATACTCCGCCGCTACTTTCGCCTATGGGTTCCGCATTTCTACGTACTTACATATATATTGGACTGACCTCGAGCATTATTCATTATCCAAGTAGAGGGGAGCAGTTCCCCGACGCTTAGTGGTCAAGCCCGATATTTCGTAGTTCTTAGTTGATATTGCGAATATCATCGCTCTTTCATTATCCATATCAGTCATTGTTATTATCGCGCACACCGCTCGCTCTTCCGACGCTCGCTATAGCGTTACTATTAGTTTCCAACATCCCGAACCCGAACCCGATATCCCGAAACCCCGAAAACATCGGACCCGACGCTTTTGCGTCGGACATCGTAATTATACCTTTGGACATTGTTTCCCGCGCTCGGACTATTGACCCCACATCACTCACTTACCCCCAAGACTATTCCCAGACCGCAGACCCCTGGGTCGAACGCACTTGTCAGGCAAGTATAGCAGAATAGGCAGTGCAAAGACCACAACACAAATATATCAGTTAGGAGCAATCTTTGTTTTGTTCCTCACAGTATTGTTGTTTCTACACCGGTTTCTTCGGAGAGAGCATTGATGTCTGCCATACAATAAGAAAACTTTCCGTCTTCAGTTGAGTGAGGGGAGTTCTGTGATAAGTCGAGCAGGGGGAAAGAACAATCTTCGTCGTATTCTTCCAGTTGGTCGTTTGGTAGGGTTGCGCCTCGATACCACTTTCTGCCGCCGTCTCTACGAAGACCTCCCTGGTCTTGGATGCTGCGGGCCCACAACCTCCACTGCTCATTATATTTCTCCAGATGTATCCGCAGGATGCGGATGAAGAGATGGTCATCGACCCATTTTGACAATGGGCCGATCCCTTCGCTGCGGAAGATGTCAGCGCCGGCGTCAGCAAGGCCTCCATAGGAGCCGGCCGCTGATGAGCATCCAAAGCAGAAACTGGTGTCAACGGCGAAGAGGTCTTCGCCTGTGCACATGACCAGGCCAGGGTATTGGGAAGGGTGGAGGGGAATGGTACGGTAAGCCTCTGCCACGTCTCGTGTGGCACCTTGGGAACCCGGGGGAAGTCGCCAGATGAGTAGACAGATGGTGGAGAATGTACCATACGTGCAGGGGTAAAGGTTTGAGTCGATGGAGGAGTTGATGGAGGCGATGGGACGAGTGAGAGAGGAGAGGCTGTGGGAGAGGTTCTGGATAAGTCGGAACTTTCCAGGTCTTCCAGGCTTCGGAATGATCGAAAGTGGGGCCGTCTGGAACGGTCCAATGACGTCTTCCATTTCGGCCTTCGATAGGGGCCCGAGGTACCTTCCTGTGCTGAATTCTCGGCTGAGAATGGTGGAGAAGGCGGAGGCATGTTCGACGATGGAAGGACTATTAGGAGGAGTATATGTACAAGTAATAGGCGGTATGCTGCCCTTGAAGCCGAATTGTAAGGATTGAGGTATGTGCGGGTAAATATGTATGAGACCAGATTTATTGAGGAAATGGGACCATGCAGTGGCGTTGTAAGGAGTGAGGGCGTTAAGCTTCCTGGCCTCGAGGGCACTTCTGAGCTCCATGATCTGTGGTGCCGCAACCGAAACACTCATGGACGTGGTCCTTGCTGGTGCTGGTGCATCCGTTGGGGCATTGCCAGTCATAACACAGCTGTAGTCCTTGGGTGTTGACGAGGCATCCTTTGCCGTTCCTTCGACAAGATGTGGGAGTCTTCCTGTCCCACAAGAATTCGCTTTTGCACTTGTGGACGTTGTGTGCGAAGCGGCCGAGGCATACAGCGCAGGCATGAAGGCCGGGTGATGCTGCGCTGCTCTGAAAAGGGGGCTTCTCATTGGTGGAACGTTTAGGGTCTTGGCGGGGACATTTGCGACTAGGAGAGGGTGCTCGGTGGGGAGGCTGTCCTGACGAATTTCGTGCAGGAGAGTGCGAGCGTGAGCGAGTGTTGCGAGTGGATGTCCGGGCTTGGTTGCATTGGGAAGGCGTTGGGTGTTCGCGTTTGTCGCCGTGTGTCGACATCGCTAGCTGGAGCTGAGTTTTGGGAAAAGCGAGAAGGTGGGAGGAAGGGAGAGGGTTGAAGGGAGATCATGAAGCAGGGTGGCAGCAGGAGCGAGCAGGTGGTAGCAGGTGGTAGCATGTGGTAGCAGGTAATGGTAGATAGTACCGTGGAAGCATGGTTGGTAGCAAGTTATGGGGTGGTAGCAATAAGCATGCGAGGACACGATGGGAAGCAAAGGATTAGTATGTGACTATTATGGGTCACGAGACGGGACGATGAACCTCAGTGAGACTGTCAAGGTGAACTTTGTTCCACACCTCTTCGGCCAGGTTTTTCAAAAGAGTTGAGTTGAAAATACTGATGTCGAAGGCGTTATCCAGGGTAAGAGTGTCATGCCAATCTCTTCACACACGAGCAGCGTAGAGCAGTAATGCTTGCTCGCCAAACGGTTCGGCACACTGTGGGTGGGAGACAATGTTCATGAAAAACATCGTGATAGCCCGTTGGTGCTTTTTGGGCCATCCGAGTCTGTTGATCTGGAGGAGGAAGCTGTTTTTCGCCATGTCGAATTGTCGCCACTCCAAGCTGTGGTCTTGGATGACTTTGCGGGAGGGTCTGAATGATGCGACCGGCTTTAGGGCTATGAAGTCGTCGACTTTCGTGAAGCCGAAGGTGTTGTCGGCTGAAGACTTTGCCTCGTCAGCTGCCTCTTTGCAACCGTCTGGGCTAAAGTACCACAGCTCCACGTATTCGTAGGACTTGAGCTTGTGTATGGCGTACTGGGAGGGGCGGTGAGTAAGGGAGTCACCAACAGAGATGCCTGCCTTGAAGTCATTGATCTTTGGCTTCTTTTTCTCTGTCTCCCGGCGCTCCTTCTCGGCCTCCTGCTCTAAGGCTCGCTTCTCCTGTTCTGCGCGCGCCTGCTCTGCTTGGGCTGCTTCGTTTGCTAAACGCGTCTCTTCATTGGATTGCGCTGTCCATGCTGCGACGTGGATGTCTCGGTCTTGTTTCCATCCATTGGACAGTTCGTTGGCTGCTTCTTCGTGGGTAAGTTGTGAGTTTCCGATGATCCGGTTTCTGATTCCGTCAAAGGTGGCAGAGTTGAAGTCTGGTTCGATGTCTAATGCCGGGTCTGATGCAATACGCGCCATGTCAAAATGAGAGAAATTCTTTGTTTAAGATAGAAAATAATGCTACTAGGGAGGAGGAGTATGGGTAGAGAAAGAAAAGAAAAGAGCTCGACGATATGCTCGTCGATGTTCTTACTGGTGGAAGAGCGGAAAGAAGAAGCGCCGGCTTCTTCCGCTCTTCCAAAGACGAAACTCTAAGACTACGCTCGTGCCTCGCTACGTCATAGAGTGGGAACACATGTCTTAAACGAATGGAGTTTGAACCAACCCAAAACCACAAAATTGCATGAGGAAACTAGGCATCATCATGATTGTTAGACTCACAGACAGGACAACATTTTGCACATTGAAGGGTATCAGTAAATGGCTCACTCGGCCGGATGGTGCGGAAGGCTGGATCTGGTTTGCATACTCTGTTTACAGTGAGTCCACAAGCATGTGTAACAAGCATCCTGGAATGCGACTAAGCACTCGAAGGATTCTCGCAAAGGGGCACACAATGCCCCGCCAGTCTCCGCTGTAAGTGATGAACATACTCCATCAACCTCGAATACCGAGGTGAGTTTTCATACTTTCCCTTTAGTTTTTGTGCTCTCTAAATTTTGATGTTCGTGCAGGCACTTCCAGATGCACAACTGGGTGTCTCGCCAGTCTCTGCTCCCCCTGAACCATCAACCTTGAATACCGAGGTGAGTTTTCATACTTTTCCTTTAGTTTTTGTGCTCTCTAAATTTTGATGTTCGTGCAGGCTGATCTGACATCGGCACTTCGAGATGCACAACAGGGTGGAGGTAAAATGAATTTATTGTCAGGACCTGCAACAACTGCAGCATCTGTTGGCCAAGGCGCACAAGGGGATCTCAGTGCTGCTGGCAACTTCCAGGACACATATCTCAAACCTTTCAGGATATTCGACGATGTTATTGGGAAGATCGCAGATGTATGGACCCTCCTTTCGATCGGAACCGAACTAATTTTCTTTTGCAGCTACATCCGTATGCAAAAATAGCGCTGGGCGCATTGTCTTGGGCAGCCAAAGTATGTCCTCTTCCTATCTCCCGCCACTCATTAATCATTTGCATAGATTATTATAGCTCAAGCAGGTCGTGATGCAGCGGTACTTGACCTTCTCAAGAAGTTGTCTGAAGTTTACAGCTTCATAACACAAAACAACCTACTTTCCCAAATTCCGTCAATGCGCGCTATCCTTGGAAATATTAGTTACCAGATCTGTCAATCCGCCCGTTTTATCCGTGATTATTCAGATATTACGAACTTTTGTGAGTGTTACAAGCTGCTACATCATGTACCATCTCAAGCTTTAACCATCATCACAAGGGAGGAGACTCGGCAAGAATGCTAACTTAGAAACGACAGAGACAATCCAGAAGCACAATGACATGCTAAATGGGCTCATGCAAAACTTCCGGGACCAGGTTTTTCATGATGTAGCCATATATATCCATGACATGGCCATACATGATCACCATGCAGGTAAGGACTTGGATGTTCATGTGACTTAGCATAAATTCATATTTTTTCAGACGAAATACTGAGCCTCAGCGGCATCACCTATATGGAGGGTGCAGGACTAGATACCAGGAAAGAATGCCTTGAAGGGACGTGCATGGAAATCCTTTCCCAGATCACAGATTGGGTCCAGAGCACTGCGAACGATGTTCCACATGTACTGTGGCTATCTGGTCCTGCAGGCAAGGGGAAATCAGCTATCACATACACCATTGCTAAGTGGTTCTACAATGTCGGAGAGCTTGGTTCATGTTACTCTTTTGACCGCCAGCGAGAAGCAGATTGTTGTCACGAAAAGATCTTTTCCACGATGGCGCGTGACCTGGCTAAACGTGACCTGCTGATGAGGCAGGCATTGGTAGATGCAGTTCAGGATGCAAAATTACCACAGAAGACCATGGATATCACCGAGCAGTGGCAGAAGCTTCTTATCGAACCACTGACACAGTCGCATCGGACAACTGGGACCATCATGATCATGATTGATGCTCTAGATGAGAGTGGTGGGGTAGAGACACGGAGAGACCTCCTTCAGATCCTAGCTGGCAAACATCAAAACACAGCTGTTACCAAAATTACAGACCTCCCAGACAACTTCCGCTTCATTGTTACCTCTCGCCCACTTGTTGACATTGAAGATGAGTTTTATGGTGTTCAGCACATCAAAGTGATGTCCATGGATAATATTCCAGCAGTGTCCACAGAGCACGACATCCATACTTACATATCCAAGGAGTTTGAAGAGCTGTCTTTCCAGGACCGGGATATCGCAGTCCTCGCTAAGAAAGCTGATGGACTTTTCGAGTGGGCACGTCTTGCCTGCAATTACATCAAAGAGCCCTATGGGACGCAATCTCAAATTGATTCCTACAATGCTGTGGTGTCACGCAATCCTGCTGAGAGAAGCATACTGTTGCACAGAACGTATGACCTCATTTTGACCAATATCATGTTCGGGGGTACATATACTTGTGACCAACATTCCCAGATATCATGTTCGACGATGCTAGCGATATTCCGCTCAGTGATGGGACAAATACTAAGCACAGCTGAACCCCTTCCTATAGCTTCCCTGAACGCCATGAGGTGCCATTTTCCCATGCGAGAGGACCGTTTCGACATGGAGCTTATGTTAAAACACATGGGCTCCCTCCTCAGTGGCACCACTAACCCAAATGCCCCAATTCGACCCCTTCATGCATCCTTCCATGATTTCTTAATGGACAAATCATCCAGCGGAGAGTTTTTCGTCGACTTGTCAAAGGTGCAACATGACCTTGCATTCGCGTCACTTCGAGTGATGGAACACAGTCTTCACTTCAACATCTGTGATTTAAAATCGTCATATCTACCAGACTCCAGTTTGCAAGTACGAGTTCAAACACGCATCCTTCCACATCTGTCATATTCCTCTCGATTTTGGACTTCGCATGTACAAGACACAACCTTCGATGAGGAGCTTGCAAAAGAAGTAAAATCATTCTTTGACAACGAACAGGTCTTTTTCTGGCTAGAGTCACTGGCCCTGATCAATGCGCTGAGCGATGCAGTTCCCACCCTTCCACTCATTTCCCAGTGGCTAAAGGTGAGTATATTGCTGCAGAGTATCCGATCTAGTAACAATGCAAACACAGGGCCATTCGGAATTTGAAGATGTCTCGTCGACTGCTATGGACATACAGAAGTTCATTCAAGTCCTTGGCGGCATCATTTCGCGCAGCACACCGCATCTGTATGTATCAGCACTCCCTTTCCTACCTGCTGACACTCCTCTATTGCGAAAGCTTTGTGCACGATTTCCGGATATTCTTCATGTGGCATCTGGACGTGATAAGAACTGGCCAGCTGTTCAATGTGTGCTCAGGGGGGCCATTGGTCTGGTTCATTCGGTCTCATTTTCGATGGACGGCACCTGCATGGTAGCTTGTTCGAATGATCGCACCATTCAACTCTGGGATCTAGCAACAGGGAAACCAGTCGGCAAGCCCTTCTTGGGCCATACTGAACTGGTCACCTCAGTCTCATTCTCGCCCGATGGCACTCTAATTGCGTCCAGTTCGAAGGACAGCACTGTCTGGGTGTGGGATCGTGTGACAGGGAAACCAGTCAGCGAGCCCTTCTTGGGCCATACTGATCTGGTCACTTCAGTCTCGTTCTCGCACGACAACACTCTACTTGCAACCTCTTCGACTGACATGACCATCCACGTGTGGGATCGTGCGACAGGAAAAACAGTCGGTGAGCCCTTCTTGGGCCATGCTGGACCGGTCACCTCAGTCTCGTTCTCGCACGACGGCACTCTACTTGCAACCTCTTCGAATGATGAGAGCATCCACGTGTGGGATTGTGTGACAGGAAAAACAGTCACTTTGAACTATCTTTGTTGTCAGATGCAATGAACCATCGTCGGCGACGAGATGGCCTAGTCCACACGGTACTTTCCTCAAACTCATCTGTCTTTTTGTTCTCTTCTTGATCATCATCACCAAAATTCCACAACCTAGATATGGGAAGATAAGGTCATATCATGAGTCGGAATGTACCAGCAGCTCCAGAGCACCGAAACAAAGTCTTATATAGGAACTCATTTTTCAGCACTGGTCAATCATGATGACAATTTTCCGTCATATGTGAGATCATTTGATGGATGAAAAGCCGCATGCTGTAGACCTTAGCACCTGCTAGTACTTGCTGGCACCTTATCACACCTCACCAGACTGTTCGTGTTGTATAAGCACATATCATTGCAGTACCGTACAAGCATGTAGTAGACGGACAAATTTGAGCATGGAAACATGTGAAATACAGGTATGTGTGATGCAACATGAAAATGACCAGTGCAATTGCGAGTGAGAGTCCGTCCAGTAGTTGTGCATCAATAACGAAAAATGCTGAGTCCGTTTGAAGCTGTGATGCGATGATAGCAAGGGAAACAGGAATATGATGCCGCAGTGCTAAAAACCACATAGTCAGTCAAATAAACCCAAGGGACATCAAGCACGTACTAAAGTCTACTTCCGGCCCTTGCATTTCCTCTTGCTGTTGGTGGTGGTGGTGGTGGTGGTAGCCTTGCCCTTGCCCTTCTTGGTGTGCATCGATGGGGCAGGGACATCTGAATCATTTTCTGTCAGTGAGCTCTCATCATCGGACTCCATCACATTAGTCCTGCCACGCTTCTTAGATGTTCGGGTGCCAGTGCCTGAGCCAGGTGGGATGGGAGCCAAAGGGAGGGTGTGAGGCAGTGCATCGCCAGTGCCTGAACCCGATGGGATGGGTGCCAAAGGGAGGGTGCGAGGTGGAGCTTCAGCATCCACATTCGGAGTCACCACTTGTTGCTGAGAAGTTGGTATGATAGGACGTGGCTTGGGGATGGCTTTTGCTGGGACAGGTGCAGGTTCTTCAATGGGAGGCGGCGTAGTGGCAGGAGTCGAAGTCATATTGATCACAGATGTATCAGAGCCAGGATCGGAAGGTAGGGTACTACCTTGCGCGTCTGAAGATACGGACTGAAATAGACATTAGCAAAATATCATTTATTAAAAATAACGAACCTTAAGTCGCGCTTCACAACTTGCAAACTGTTTTTGCATGCTGATCAAATCTTCTTCTTCCTCGTTGTCATCATCACTAACGTCAAAGACTGGTATACCTGCCTTGTCGCCAAATACAAACCTTTGCGAGAACTCAGCAACGTGTGACAGATCAATACAAATAATACATACATATTCCACCACTCAAGTAATGAATCCGCCCATGTCTGATCGAATGGCTCTTGGATGGCTTGGATGATTCGGTAGTAGGCCTCATGATAGTCGTATTTACCATCCATAGCTTGCTATTTCATCAGTCAACCACAAATTTCATCACAGACGTCAACATTTTCGACAGTTCCCACAGTGCTCACAGCACTCACAGCAAACTTTCTAGATCTAAGCGTATCTAGGCGAAAAACACATGGCCCTACGCGGCGTAAGCGCAAACCACGCGAGTGGTGACCTGCACCAAACTGGTTTGGTGCATGGATGACTAACACTCTCCTATGAGCCCTATACCCTATGAAATCATTTTCTCTATGATCTGAAGTCAGACTGAGGCTAAGGGAATATTTTTCGCATTTTTTCCTTTTTACGAGCTTGTACGCGAGGGGACTGAATATTTTTGTACATTTAATTCTGCGATGAGTTTTGCTTAGTCAGCCATGAAGATGACTCAGAAGATTCTCACACATATCAGGTGACTGTGAAAAATATGTTTGCGTAAGGTTACCCTGTGGGAAAGCTTACAAATCACTAAATATGCGCCCCATGTCACTATGCCACCAATAAATTCATCAGCCACAGATTTCACAAACATCTGTACACAATATGCAATCATTTTCTCACTCTTGTCTAGCTGAGTCATCAAGGGTCACCTGACCCATGGGCCATACACAGCTCTTGCTGACTCATCATTATACCAACTAGAGTTATGAATATTTACTTTTTGACCCAAAGATACTGTGTGACTTGGTACTAACGAACTAAAGTTACAACTTTAAGTACGAGAAACTAGTAGTATAGCCACCAAATTTGTCTATATAAGGACCAGCTTTTTGCCCAATAAAACAAAAGAAGTTCCCCACTGTTTTTACCTCTCAGAATAAAATTGTGAGTGAAGTGTGAATCGGCAACCAGCAAGTGCAGTTCAAGGTTGGAGCTCACTGTGCTCAACAACCAGCACAATAATTCTGAGCTCATTGTGTTGAACATCTAGCACATACCTTGAGCTCGCTGTGTCTGACGACTAGCAAGACTAGTCTTTCTTTTTCTGTTTTTCTCTTGATTGTCTGTCTGAATTTCTCTATTTCTTTTTGTGTCTTTGTCTGTGTCTCTGTCTGTGAATCTGAGTGTCTGTGTGTTGTTTGTTTCTTTTCTCTCTGTCTCTGTCTTTCTCTCTGATTGTCTGTGATTTGTCTTTTTTTTCTTTCTCTCTGTCTCTCTGAGAACGTGTCTGAGATTTGTGACTGAAGCTCGTGTTTTTTTTTTGCTCTCTCTCTCTCTCTCCTTTTCTCTGTCTCTGTCTCTGTCTCTTTCTCTTTCTCTTTCTCTGTCTCAAGTGTGTGTGGTGTGTTGGTGACTGACTGTGTTGACTAACTCTGTGATCACTGTCTCTTTGCTTTGTGGTCGTTGTTGCTAACAGTCTCTGTGATTGCAATTGCATTAGCATTTCTGTTGTTGCGGTCTCGTGTTGTTGTTGTCTCAACCTATCAACTTTCTCTCAAGTACCAAAGTTTCAGTCTGTTAAGAACGTGCTCAAGGGTCGGATCCGAAGGGCTTGGCTTCAGCTCGTGCGCTGCGCCCCTTACCCGAGTACGTGCCCCTAACTTCCGAGGGTTGTCGAACGATGTCCGAAGGTTACTGGACGATGTCTGGAGGGCGTCGGGCGATGTCCGGAGTCCGATGTCCGATGCGCGGGAATTCCGGCGGACGTTCGGAAACAAGAGATAAGACTAATCCGGACAAAGTCCGAACTAGAAAGGAAACAGTGGAGGACTACCAGAGGTAGAGGCAGAGGTGACAAGTCTATAGGAGTCGATCCTAAGACGAGCGGAGGTCGACGAGAGAGAAACTCAAGTCGGACAGAGGAGAGAATGAGCAGAGTCTAAGATGATATTCAAACTAAGGATGTACATAGATTCTACATGGTTTATATACTACTGAGGACTTATCGGAGAACAGAGATGCGCAGTCCGAAGCTATACAAAGCTGTGGACGGAGCGTATAGAAAAGTCAAACGCTAGTCTATCGGAAAATAGTAAATGAACCCGGAGATTAGAACAGATGAAAATAAAGGCGGAAATAAAATGAGGTACGGAAAATGATATAGTCTAACTGGAGTAGGAACGTACAAAGGGATAAGGTATGGAAGTTAGACGCGGGTTGGATCCGGACATAGATAGATGTCGGCCGGATCTGGACTTCCGGAAATGATGTGTGTGATAGGTCCAGGTCCGGAACGCGGGATATGACACAGTCTCATTCTTACCCAGAAGTTTGGTGTTGTCTCTTTTTGTCCACGGAAGACTCTGATAGTCTAGTGGGGAGACTTTACGTGTTGACGGTGATACCTGACCTCTTACATCTGTGTGTTATACCGATTGAGGGTAGTCATTTGCGAGTTAGACTTTAGCTATTGAAAAGGGGACTTGGTATTGAAGTCCAAGGTCGCCCGTTCCTGAGTCTGTTTAATACTCATTGTGAGTTCCTTGGCAGCAGGTTCAATATTAGGCTAAGAGTGCTACAGAGGCTTGACTAGGCCTGACGGTAGTTTCACCTGTTTTTGTATTGAGGGGGACTCTCATTGTAACTCCGCACAACTTGCTGCACTAAGTTTGTGTACGAATCCTTGTTGCTGTGTGAAGTGTTAGGAAGAGTGTCTGTTTGTTTTGTGTCATCTCTATATTGTTAGAGTGACTGTGTTTCCTGATTTGTTTTGTTGTTGTCTGTGTTGTTGTGATTGTTGTTGTTGTTGTTGTTGATCACTGACTGACCGAGTTCTGTGTTTTTCTCTCATCGCTGTGTTTCATATCCATATTGTTGGATTGACTGTTGACTGCTGATCGCTGACTACTGACTTTTTGTGCGAGCCATATTCTACTGACTGTATCTTAGGAGCAAGGCAAGCCACCCACGAATGACCACATTATCAGTCATTGGTATTTGTCTGAATCGCTGACCGTGGAGATATTTGGTTTTATAGGTGTTTATCTATAGATCATCTATCTAAGAAGACAGCAGGGGCCCATGCGTTTCCGAAACCGTTCTCCCTTTCTTCTTAAGATAGCTGTAATAACTCCCCAAGCTTGAGCCACCTGGCTAAAAAGCAGGCTAATAATTCGTCAATTAATTTTATCCCTAACCCTACTTGTCTCCGATGGCTCTCAGATCGAACCATCACCTCCTTCCAGTACTAGTATTCAGCCTTGTGGACACCAAATGTCACTATCTACGCACTAGATGGCGAGCACATTTTGAGTGGAGCTCAGGATAAGATGATATCAGATTGGGCAGTGCTCAAGGATGCTTTGCCAGAGAAACTGGCATCAGTGGTATGTTTCCATTGATTTCATGCCCTTTGCCATCTCATTTTTTTTGCCAAGGCTCAGGTTTCTATTTCAAACGTGTGTTTCCATGCTTGACTCTGATAACACAAATTGAGTGTGCTTTGTGCCACAGATGCTTGCACTAAACACAAAGCCTGTCATCATGCAGCCCCTCTTAACCCTGAATTCAGCAAGCGGCACCATATTTGCAAATTGCAGCAAGGCAAAATTGGATCAATTGCTATGGGAGGAAGCCCTTCTCGATGCACAAAAGGTACAATGACATCTGCTCAGGTAGTGTGTTAACTGACACCTACTTTGGCGATACATAGGTCATTGAACTCGAGCCTTCGTCTCATGTTGGGCATCAGTTGAAGCAATCGAGGCCTTCCAGATGATGCTTGCGAAATTGGCCAGTACTCACATGCCAATACAAAGTAAGTTCTAAGTAACACATATTTTCAGATGCTCAACTCTTTCCTCAGAGCTGCGCAGCAAGTCAGTCAGTCCTTCTGAAGCAGAAGGTGCCATTCGAAAGGTCATAAATGCTCAACTTGACCCTGCACCACTTCGCCTGCTTGACATCACTACCGGGATCTTATGTGATCGAGAAGCGCAGATAAACGCCTTCAAAATGACTACAGAGTACAAACAGCTTCGATTATCAATTATGAAGCATGCAGATCTCCCAATGGGGCGCATCACAGACACGGTGGCAACATACTTCCGTTATGTCATCGATGGGGTGAGAACAAGCCGCTGCTGCATGACATCCAAGACAAGATTGTGTACAAGTTGAATGCAGCCAGTCTCATGAAGTTGCAGTCATTTTGCAAAGTTGTCCTTCAAACAGGATTTCAAAAAATCTTGTTGAGCTCCAAAAATCACTCAACTCTGTGTTTGCCTGGTATCACAATTCTGCGCTCATGGTCGTCTACCTCTCAGATATTCCGCCTTCATCCAAGTCTGGCGCACTGACTAAGAGCGCCTGGAACACCCAAGGATGGACTGTTCTGGAATTCCTCGCTCCTGAAGTCATTCGCTTCTACCAACAGGATTGGACTCCATACCTCGATAATGTCTCTTTCAACCACAAGGAGTCTGTAGAGATCATGCACAAATTGGAGGATGCGACAGGCATAGATGCATGCGCTCTTGCTGCCTTTCAACCAGGCATGAAAGATGCCCAAAAGAAGTTACAATGGGTGTCTACGCGTGTCACCAGTGTGCCGGAAGACATTGCATACTCATTATTTGGTATTTTTGCCATCCAATTGCTCATCCTTTACGGCAAAAATGTCCAAAATGCGCTCGGGCGACTCCTGCAAGATATTGTGGCTCATTCATGGGACATCACTGTCCTCGACTGGGTCGGACAACCATCCGAGTTCAATAGTTGTCTTCCAGCTGACATCACCGCATACGCAGCTCCGCCGTGCATGCTACCATATTTATCTGAAGATGAGATCCAGACAGCAGTTTCTTCACTACGACACACTATAGCCATGGATAAAGCTTTGAAACTTTACAACCAGCTTAACAACATGAGCTATCCTGGCTTTGCGAATTGCAGGCTGCATCTGCCTTGCATCATATTTCCTGTCACTGAAATCAGGCGGACACCTGGTGCAGCCGAAGGGACATTGTTCTCATACAGAGTCAAAGCAGACAGGCTTGATGATCTGCTGATCACCACCGAAGAGAGGCTTGCCCAGTTTTTGTGGCTCAGACCAACTCGACAGACATTCTTACTTGTCTGCCCTTGGGATTGTCACCTCCTCGAGCTGCCCGACTTCACAGACTCGGACGACACACAAAGCTTGGGAGGTTGGTCTGAGCCTGAGTCTCTTGACGGCTCGCCTGGAGAAGAGGAATTGACTGATTCGGAATCTTACTCACAAGCATTGCGATTGATCGCTCACCTTGGACAGCTGTTTGGTGCTTTTTTGCTGGCCCAGCAGCGCAGTGGAGGATATAAAAGGATCATATTGGATTGTGATATCATTGCTCAAGTCAAAGATGTGACCTCTGTACACAGCATGACGGACATCAGGACTCTAAAAATCTTATAGTATTGCATGTCTTTTTTGAATGTCGGACAACAAATTCAGCCTTGTCTTATATGCCTACTTATGTAAAACTGGGCAGGGAACACGATATTTGCAGTTGAACTCCCTCCTGCCAGTGATCACATGCAAACACTCACTTGCATAGTGAACAAGTAGATACCACATGAGTAGCAACACTTCTATAAAATAGTGTACAAACAGTCCCCAGATAGTGAATAATTATGTCTGTGCCCTGCACACCACTTGAACGGATGCTGAGAGGGCTCCCGGATGTCTCGATGGTGCACCATACAGTCTCGCGATCCCAACGAGAGGATATGCGAATTCCAAGCCAGAGCACCGATGTGTTGAGTGTGCATTATTATACAAGTGTTGTAGTTGGAGAGTATTAGTGTCGTAGATGTGCATTCTACCTGAGAGAGTTCCAATAGCAAGCAACGTACCCTATCAAAGCATCGAATCATGAGTAATTAATTAAAAGGGGAGATATATGGACCTTTTGGACCCATGAGGCGGAGCTAACTGTATCATTTGAAACTGCTGCATTATGTGCTGTCCATAGGTACACGCAGCTCCCTAGTCCAACACCAAGTACATTCGTATTGCTCCAATCCACGAGGTTGAGGTAAAAATCATCTGCCAGTTCTGGTGCGTTGAGAACGTGATAGGGTGTTTTTCAGACACTGTGGAGCTGTCTTCGGGGGGACTCAAGGAGTTCACCAGATTCTGCTCGGACGGGACTCATGGAATAGGCCTCATCTGTTGGGGTGTCTAGTCTGCGAGTTGGTGTGCTGGGATTTGCTGATGTTGCCAGTGAGGTGTAGTGAAATATATGTTTACAGGTCGGTGTACTAGGTGGGAGGGTTGTTGTTTCACTTGAAGAGGTTGTAGGTCGCTGGGGTGAGGTGGGTCGACGTGGAGAAGGGGGGGTTACTTCTGTGTAGAGTATGGATGTAAATATTGTGTTTGCTTGTTCTACAGGCGTGTTAGCTGGCCATCTCAAGTACCACCAAGGTGACTGACCCTTCAATGCATCCGATTCTGTTGGTATAATTCAAGATTTTGAAGGAGTTGAAGGACCACTTTCATCCATCAAGTGATAGCTCGTTTGCATATCTCCAGCATCCCTCAAAGGCACAAATCTGTCTCCATACATTTCGCGCATCGTGATAGGCAACTCTGGCATCGCGTCCTTTGTTGTCGAGGATGTGGCGGTATAGAAAATTGGGTTGACCCACTGTCGATTTCTTCATGGACCGTCTTCTTCGTTGTCTTGATGTGTCGTGCATAGTCGCTTGCCAAAAGGGGAATTTTTGAGTCCGGACATTAAGCAATTGGCTTGATCTAGTCAACGTGATCGTCAACGAGCAAGGTTCACGGCGAGCATCCAACAACCCCCAAGGCTTGTAGTAGTCAAGCACAAGGCACAATTCAGGTAAAATTACATAATCAACTCGACCTAGCGGAGTTTGAACCTGCGCTCCTAGCCGTATCTCATATCCAATATTATGACTAGGCTGATAGCTATAATTAATAACTCTATTCACCTGTGGTCGACTCCATTGCTGCGGAATTCAGGAGGCAAGTATTTATAAAGGAGTCAAACCAGGTTCGTCTCTCACTCGGTCATGGAACCTCCTACTCCCATATCATTTAGATTTAACGACCTTCCGACTGAGCTTGCCCTCATCATCTTCAAGCATGCGGCACAACCACCTTTTGCTCAACATGTGCCTTTCACCCAAGATCCATACTCATCTGCCCTTTCACTATGCCAGGTCTCCAAAATTGTCAGGTGCGCTGTGCTGCCTGAACTTCTGCACACAGTGTTATTGTCAACAGCTCGCCAACTACTCGCTTTCATATGGGCTCTGCATAGGCAGAAAAAATACATTGATCAACAACATGATCTAGCTTTTGATTACGCATCTTGCGTGGACATGATGTCAATCGGAGACTTTCGGGGGCCTTTTCAAAGCCCACCTATTCCCTACTTTCCCCTTCCTATGCCCGAGCTTGAATGCGAGCTTGATATCAGTTTGCTCGCTCCAGTCATTCTCGGTGCATCCTCCCTCGCAATCCACTTTAATAATCTAAATCTTCTTTCAAAATGCCTCAAACATGCATGTAACTCCGATATCGACTTAACATCAGGAAAAACCTCCCGGCCAAAATTTCGATAATCTTTGATAAAGTCCAAGAATTATGTCTAATTAGCAGCTTTAGGAGAATTAGGAAAATTATGTAGTTTAGAAGGACTTTCTTACCCCCTCATAAATTTTGCATAATTATCAAGAATTAGCTGATACTAGACACAATTGTGGTGAATTGCAGAAGCCGTTATTACAAATGTTGGTTCACAGATCACACATCCCAGGCAATGTTACAAGAACAAAAGCATCTGATATTTGATTACATAGAATATACACACAAAAGTAATTACTGTATAGCTACAATGGACCACAAATACGTCGACTGTGTGGACAGATGAGTCCATGCTGCTGCGCCGCGAAGATGAAGAAGTACCTGCACTTGTCGCACCAGAACCCGTTCTGAAACTGTCTCCTCCATAACAGAAGGAGTGCCAGGCGTGTTAGATGCGCTTGGGGGCTCGGTGAGGGAGGAGCGCTGCGCACGAGCGTCGTGTCGAGAGCGCTTCCGAATGATATCGGATTTCATACTAATGGGACGAGCAGAGCCATGAAGCTTATAGTAGAGGCCGCATCTGTATGTATATAAGAGATTGGTACAAATATAGAAGGAACAACAAATGAGAACTTACGTGTTGCAAATGGTCTTGCCTTCATCGTCCTTCCTCCACAAAGGAGTTGCAACCAGGACTCACCACCTCCACGACTCAGACCAGTGTCGCAGAAGAAGAAGAATGCGGTGGCGCTGCAGCCGAGGACAGCGTGGACAATGCAGAAGCCAAAGATGACGCACCACCCGTGTCATCCTTCTCCATGACTAGCACGCATGGAGTTTGGATGCAGATGTTTATGTTACCAAGGAGAAGAGAAACAAGACGTCCGCTCAGCAAAGTCCATACGACGTATATAGATGAAATAATACTCACTAATTTACAACAGAGACCGCAAGTGTGATGAGTTACGACACGAGTGACTACCCACTATAAGGGTACGGGTATGGGTATGGGTGTCCAGGAATCAGCGTGGCGGTTGCTCGAACAACGAACCACGCACTCACCCGCTGCGAACGGCAAACAACAACTTGGATCAGTGTGGCTCTTGCTCGAACAAGGACCAACACACTCACAATCCAATGATGAGCACGGTGTTGGACTCAGTCGTACATGATGACTGTACGAGCACAGGAGTAAAAGGATTAGTAATACATACATAGATGAATAATGTAGGGAACACCGACTTACCCAGGAATAGCCGGAGCGGTGTCGATTAGTAAGCACAGCACGGAGAACAGACAAGTCCATTTTCATATGTTTCGGATCGGACGCATAGTATTAACCGTTTAACAGTATATATATTGTATGAAGTAGTTACAATGAATTGAGCCTTTTTATCAAATATTCTACTCTAAAACATCTACTCTAAACTACAGATAACTACAGGTTATGAGCCCTGCTCCGACAATCATGGATAACACGCACCACAGCAGCTCCTCATTGTACACCATCCCCAAACTTGCCGACGATGGCTCGAATTGGATAACCTACAAGGAAAGAGCGTTAACAGTGATCCGCGCACGAGGATTGATGCGATACCTTGATGGTCGAATCAAAGAACCTACCCCATACAAGACCAACTTGGCTGGAAAGTACGAAAAGGCTGATGGCACGGTAGCAACTGAAACAGAAGTAGAAGAACTCGAAGAGAAGATAGATGAATATCTACAGAAGGACTCACTCGCAAAGCAACACTTATTTAGCACGATCTCGGATCAGCTATTGTTGCGCATCCAGCACCTTGGCAACGCCTCGAAGATATGGTCCGAAATTCGGACAATACACGAAGGCAAGACAGAATTAGTTCAAATAGATCTGCGCCGGAAGTTGCAAGAATCAAGATGTGAGGAAGGAGGTGATGTGAAGACTCACTTTGGGGACATGTTTCGCATCCGCGAAACGCTAGCAGGCATGGGGGCGAGCATAGAAGAAAAGGACTTCTACACAATTATAATGGGATCTCTGCCAGAATCTTACAGACCCCTGTTATCGTCAATCAATGCAACAGCCCGAATCACAAAGCAACCACTCACCCCATACGAGCTAGTCAGTGTCGTCTCTGAAGAGTACGAGCACAGACAACTAGCAAACCCAAAGACCTCAAAGAAAGGAGGCAACAGCGCATTCTCGGCCAAGGACAGTACGAAAAGGAATCGTACAAGCACCGCAAGCAAGGATGTTACGTGTTTCAACTGCGAGAGGAAGGGTCATTACAAAACCAATTGTTGGAGACCTGGAGGAGGGAAAGAAGGTCAGGGACCAAGGCAAGGTGGAAAGGCGCCAAGACAAATGGCTAATGCGGCAGACAAGATCGAAAGAGCAAATGATTATGCTTTTGTCACATCAGATCTAGCAAATGTGGCAAAAAGGATCAACATACCTGCCGAGAGACAAGGAGCCATTATCGATTCGGGCGCAACGTCCCATTTCTGCCCCGACCGCTCGAAGTTCATAACATTCACCTCCATTGAAGCACAAGATGTGCACACTGCAGATGGTTCTACCATCAGCGCCATAGGAAAAGGGGATATAAAGATAGACCTACCTTTGGGAACAAAGAAGACCACTGTGACTCTCAAAGACACCCTATATACGCCAAAGATGGCATTCACGTTAATATCGGCCAACAGAATCGCTACCGCCGGTTTCGCATTACACCTCGAAGATAACATGTGCAGGATATTGACCCCAGCACCAGAGCGAAGACCCATAGCCGAAATTCCTCAAATAGAAGGACTATATCGAATCATGGCATCAGTGACCCATAGCGCAAACTCAGCAATAATGAAACATACCATCGATGAATTACACCGAGCATTGGGACATGTATCCCACGAAGCGATCACAAATGCTATAAAGAAGGGCATGATCAGAGGTATAACGTTAGATGAAAGTTCAAACCCTACCTTTTGCGAAACGTGCGCAAAGGCCAAAGCCACTTGACAACCATTTTCAAACGAGTCAAAGACCAGATCATCCGCATATGGGGACCTCGTCCATACAGATCTATGGGGTCCGGCACAAACCGAAACGATAAACGGATGCCTGTATTATATCACCTTTACAGATGATTTTAGTCGGGAAACGAGGGTAACATTCCTGAAGAGAAAGAGCGACGCACTTACCGCATTCAAGGAATACGAGGCTTATGTAAGCCGACAATATAATGCGCGTCTGCGCAAAGTACGGTCGGATTGAGGAGGAGAGTACCTAAGCAAGGAGTTTGATGAATATCTGAAGGAAAAAGGAATAAAGAGACAACTCACCGTGCACGATTCCCCACAGCAGAATGGTGTAGCCGAAAGACTAAATCGAACATTAGTCGAACACGCGCGAGCCATGCTACTCGCAAAGGACCTACCAAAGTTTTTATGGGCCGAAGCCGTCAATTACACAACATGGCTCAAAAATCGCCTACCTTCGAGGGCGATCCCAGGATACACGTCCTATGAATTGCTACACAAAGCAAAACCAAGTTTAGTAAACGCACAGGAATTCGGCGCACAACTCTATGTGCACTCACCGGATGGAGGAAAGCTCGAAGCTAGAGCAGAAGAAGGTCAATTTGTGGGAATAGACGAGGAAAGTAAAGCTTACCGAGTATACTGGCCGAAGAAGAGAAGAGTATCTGTCGAACGCAATGTTAGCTTTGTCCCGCCGGACGTCATCGTTCGTAACGACGCACTGGACGAGGGGGAGTATAACCAGGAAGAACGGATCAACATACCGAATATCGTCCAGCCCGTCACAACATCCCAAGTCCCACAAACACCAAGCCAACCTCCCAAAACGCCACCCCAGAGTACACAGCAACTTCCAGACCCAATAACGCCCAGAACCACGAGAGTACGACCCCCTGCAGGATACTACAAAGCGTTAAATGAAGGAGAAAGAGCAACCATAGCAATGGAAAACTCACCGGACAACACTCAATCGAATTCTTTTCCATATATGGCCATGGCAGCCGCAGAGAAGGAACCGACACTTAGAGAAGCGTTAAATGGACCAGACGCGGAGGAATGGCAACAAGCCATAGACTATGAGATTGGTCAATTAGAGAAACTCAAGACATGGGAAATTGTGGACCCACCTAAAGGCGCGAATATAATACCTTGCCATTTTGTCCTAGCGACAAAGCGTGGACCAAACGGCGAGAAGGTAAAGCTGCGTGTGAGACTTGTCGCAAATGGTCAGCGCCAAGAGTACGGCGTAGACTATCAAGAAACGTTCGCACCTACCTCAAGTATGACGACAATTTGTACTGTCCTAACGATGGCAGCTAAGCACAACTGGGAAATACATCAAGTCAATGTTAAAAGTGCTTACCTCAATGCCAAGCTCAATGACGACATATATATGCGCGTGCCGCCAGGATACTTGAACGAAGGAGACGAAGGAAAGGCATTAAAGCTATTGTGTAGCTTATATGGCCTAAAGCAGGCCGGTTTTGAATGGTCCGAGGAGCTAGAAGAATTTTTCCTCAGTAACGACTTCACGCGCTCTCAAGTCGACCAAGCCGTATACTATCGACAAGCCGAAGAAGAACATACCGTTATCACCGTGTCCGTCGACGACATGGCCGTCACATCAAAACACCTAAAGCACATCCAAAAGTTCAAAGATCAGCTTTGTAAACATTTTGAGATTTCGGACCTAGGAGAGCTTACCTGGCTCCTAGGACTAAAGGTTGAAAGGGACCGAAAGGCGCGGACCATAATGTTGTCGCAAGAAGCATACATCGACACTATAGTCGAGAGATTCAGGATGAAGGATGCGACAACGTCGCAAACACCAATGGAAACTGGAGTAGTTCTAACGAAAGAGTCATCAGACCATTCACCAGACACCAAACCTGAAATACCTGAACAACACGTACCGTATCAACAGGCCATTGGATCGCTAATGTATGCTGCGACGAGCACACGTCTGGATATAGCCTTCGCCGTTTCGATACTCTCGCAGTTCATGCGAGAGCCAGCTAGTGCGCACTGGGAAGCTGCTAAACGAGTCATACACTATCTAAAGGGGACAAAGAATTCAAAACTTACCCTAGGAACCACAAATCAAGGTTTAGAAGCATTTGTAGATGCTGATTGGGCGAGTCAGCCCCATCGACACTCAATATCGGGCTATATCGTCCTGTTGCACGGATCTCCAGTAGCGTGGAGCGCGCGAAAGCAGTCGCTAGTTGCTTTATCAACCGCCGAAGCGGAATATATTGCGCTGACATCGGTAGCGCGCGAAATCCTATATCTAAAAAGTCTCATCAGTGAGCTATACAAGCCGATGGATGAATGTATCCCCACCTACTGCGACAACCAAGGAGCAATAGCGTTAGCATCAAACAACAAATTCCGCACACGCACCAAGCATATTGACATAAGGTATCATTACATCCGTGACCTTGTCGAAAACGGCACCATCCAACTCCAATATTGTCTGACGCTCGAAAACGTTGCGGACGCTTTTACGAAAGCACTGCCGGCACCACAGTTTAGGGAATTGAGAGGGAAGATGAAGGTGGACTGTGCTCGAGGGGGAGTGTTGGACTCAGTCGTACATGATGACTGTACAAGCACAGGAGTAAAAGGATTAGTAATACATACATAGATGAATAATGTAGGGAACACCGACTTACCCGGGAATAGCCGGAGCGGTGTTGATTAGTAAGCACAGCACGGAGAACAGACAAGTCCGTTTTCATATGTTTCGGATCGGACGCATAGTATTAACCGTTTAACAGTATATATATTGTACGAAGTAGTTACAATGAATTGAGCCTTTTTATCAAATATTCTACTCTAAAACATCTACTCTAAACTACAGATAACTACACACGGAAGGACGACTATGAACTACCTAGTTTGTAGTTACAAATGTTAAATAGAACTTTTAAAAAAATCTAAGACATACCTATCAGCTTGATGGTTGAGGCTGACGACGTTGAACATTGAGGAATGAGGGATCGACATCGGAAGTTCAAAAAGCTTTCAAACCAAAGTCATGCGAGCCAAACAAATGGTTGAATATCAACCAAACAGTCACGTGAGCGAAACAAATATGTGCAAATGATGAACTTCAACAAAATTTTACTCAGTCGTTCGCCGCTTGTCCCAGGTGCACATGTTCTTTTTTCTCATTTATAACTATCTTTAACCTTGCAGTGTGCTACTATGACCACCACTCGCGCCCTACACTACATCCTACCCTCCATCTCGTGCTTCCTGTCTCGGCCCTCCTTCCACTCTTCTGGTGCTCTCCAGTGTCCTCCGCACACGTTCGAGCCACGTCAGCATTCGCTGACGTGCGCTGGGCGTGTGTGCTAAACACTGGTGGCTGCTGGGATCAGGTGGGGTGTCCCATGGTTCTGGATGATTGTAACGATTTTTGGTTTAATTCGTATTTAGATAGATACACTTTTTGTATATTCAAGTAATTCTTGACATTTTGTGATATTTGCATCCCACATTATCGTCTTCTAGCAATTTTATTCCTAATTCTTGTAATTAGATAGAATTATCTGAATTAGAACTTTTAGCGAAAATTATAACATTTTTTCCCCAGGAGGGTTTTCCTGATGAAATGTCGACCACAAAAATTCTCTGCTTCCTTGGAGCACAAGAAGTTTGATGCTATTGGGTATGTTCTTTCATTCATGGTGGCCCTTCGTGGGGTCTGTCCATGGATATGCTTTCCTCGCTTCCATCCAACACCTCACCCTACTCAAATCCGCATCCTTCCAAGAATGCCTGCCCTTCCAATGCAACTGTGTTAGCGAATTTGAATTTGAACATTCTGCATCCTACCTGCAGCCTTTGTGCATCGCGCTGTAGAGACTCATGCCTCTCATGGTGTGATATGGCACTTTTCACTAGGGAGTTCATTGCACGAACTTGCAGCACCATTCTGTGTGCTATCTGTAGCTATCCCTATATGAGGCGCAGCTTTCCCGCACAACGCGCGCCATGCGCGCACCATTCCCGCGCTTTACGATGTATACGCGCGCGCGCTTTCCCGCGCTTGATCGCCCTATAGCGCCAGCCATCCGGAAGCATCCATCCACTGTCCACCAAGTTCTCTAGTGCGTATGTTTCCATTTTTCTTATCTGTGTATCGTTCCACCTTTATTTTTATCATGGACCCTTACTTACATACATATATCTTTGCATACCTTACTCGGTAGCGATTCAGCTCCGCATGACAGCGCTTAGGCGCGCCATATAAGCGCCAGCATTACATACTGAAAGAAAGTTTCGAACTTTGCACTCTACCTCCCACTTACCACCCACATACTACCTAGGAGAACATAGTAGAAATCTATTCTTTGACACCTCGCGCTCGTATCTCTTGTCTAGTATCTAATCACCACTTAAGCAAACTCACTCTTACTCTCTCTCATTACCGCTCACGCGCGCACCTTCGCTTTCCCACGCCTCGCGCGCACCTGCGCGCTTTCTCGCGCTTCGCATCAGCCGACCAGTAGCGCCTTCGGCGCGCACTACTAGATCCTTGCTGCACTCGCTTCCCCTTTAGGGTCGAACGCACTTGTCGTCTCAAGTATAGCAGACTAGGCAACGCGCGACCTTACAACATTTACAGATACAGTCAGGAGCTTTGTTTGTTCCTCTCTGTATTGTTGTTTCTACAGCGCGTGCTCCTTTCAAAGGACTGCAAACATTCTTGTTGGCCATTCTGCACATCAAAGTCATTCCACACACCTACCCCCGGCCGGTCGCTCAATGTGCGCCAGATATATGGGTGAAGTTGGTCACGTTCCCTGCTTCCGTGCTACCGGAGCCTTGTACACCAGAGGAAACAGAGCGGTTTATTAAGATTGGAGTGAAGTTTACTCCATATGTTCAATTTCTGCCACGGTTGTTCCTTGATGCCAACTTGATATATTTTTGAGGCCTCACTGGCACGGGTGTCAGACAGACAGACTACGCAATGGGTTGTATTACGTTACATAATTTGAACATAGTTGAAACTTTTATGACGATAGTACTTGCTCCACAGTTATTTCTTGTCTTGTCAGCAACACAAAGTCTACTAGAGCTGATCACGGTGAAATTGAGGGTCCAGCACCGTGGGGCTTACCCAAGCGACTTATTCCCAATGCACGTGTAGTCTTTGCCATTGTATTCTATTCTACATATTGTAAGGACGGAGCGATTTCCAATATCCTGTGATTCCTATGTGCGTGCGCCACTTGAGCTCCACAGGCGCTCCAACATCTCGACGCTCCTTTTCCTTTGGATCTCCGCTTCCTCCTTTTCCTCTCTCCGCGTAACATTTTTGTAGATGAGTTCAACGAGATGACGCTAGATGCATTGCCAGGAGATTGTGACACGCAGAACGATGGATGATGATGACAGCGAGCACAGAATCGTACTTCAGCTCGGACAGCCTCAGAGAGGCTGATCAGGTGCCTCCTGATGCGCCTGAGCAAATGGCGACCTCAAGGTCGGCGCTGTATGCGCTATTCAGCGGAATCTATCAGTCGAGAAAAGATTGGTACAGAACGTGCACTGTCTCCCTCGGATTACTTTTACGTTCAATCCCCCGGGTTCGAGCTGGATGGTCAATTGAAAGCAGTTTCCATTGCGTGCCGCTTATGCTACAATGTTCAATGGAAGCCAAGGGCTAACCTTACAGAAGGCGGTTCTCGACTTGCGCACCAATTCATTGGCACACGGTCAACTGTACACTGCGCTGTCAAGAGTGTGTAGTCGCAGAGACATTCAAGCACTGTTTCGAGAAGACGAGGAAGAGACGACGGCAAACATAGTATACAGACCGTCTGTTATTGTGAAATGGATGATTGAGTTTACCGTCCGAAGGGTTCAGAACTCTTGTAACATTTATATCTAAGTCACGCTCGACCTTGTGGACAACAGCCTGTTGGACTGCCAGTGAGCCCTCGCATCATCCTCTGCCGACCTGCAGTGTGCACAGCATGATGGACATCAGGCCTTCAGGGCTCTAGAAATCTTATAATTGTGTATGTCTTTGTCGAACATCGGAAATTCAGCCTTATGTTATATTGCCTACTTCAAACTGGGCAGGAAACCGATCTTTGCAGTTGTAACTCCCTCCTGCCAGTAAACACTCACTTGCATAGTGAACAAGTAGATATGCCACTAAAGTTTTTGTTCGTTTGCTTAGACAATTATTTTCATTCACCCACAGCTCGCGAAGTATTTGATTCTTGGGTCTAAACAAAAAATGTGTCTTCCAACCGAGAGCTATGCGTTAGAACTTAGCATTCAAGAATATGACTCAACAGGTCTGAGCACGCTTTTTATTATATGGTCGTTGTGCTAACATGATATTCATAGATACACCACGCACAATCAATGTACGAGCTCCCAAACGGCCCTTGACCGTCATACACACAACTCAATGGGACAAAACCTGAGTTTGAGATACGGAGAACGAGGAGGGTGGCGGTACCAAGGGAGGCGCGGTTGATTGTGGCGAGTGTTAGGGATGCTACAGTATTGTCATGATGCGATGCTTATTGTCATTGTGATGTGATGTAAGTGGTGTAAGTGGCACCTACTAAAAAGGGGCACAAGGAAAATGCTGCGCCACTGCTGCGACTGCTGCGGCATCTGCCGCGACGGCTCCAAATTTACAAATTACGCTAAGTAGCAAATTGATTCACAACACTTGCTTGTTGCTTGCCACATACTCTGGACTCTGCATCGCTGCCTTGAAGGGCTTCACATGATTAATATAAAGTCACTTGGGTATTGTTATCTTGAACTGTGTTACTGAAGATTGATCTATAGTGTGTTCCAACTTCCGAGTCCCAGATTTCAGACTTGTGCATTCTGGTTTCTGAAATGATACGCAAACGCAAATCTGCCACTGAAGTATGTATTCCAATACGCGAGTCTGCAATACTATGATGCGCAACATAACTACTGAAGCTTTAAAGGACCATGTGTTACACAGCTCGAGTTCATTTTCAGCAAGTACTAAGTACTACACTAGTGTTGCAGCACCAAGTCGTTGTGGGCATCGCAGTCGTTGTGGGCATCGCGGGCATTGTGGGCACCATGTTGCAGCACCACCCAAATATGGAAAAAGAAGATGACCACGACGCCCGCGACAGATCAGTTACTAGTGCCAGAATGTCAGTAGTAACTCGTATCCAGTTCCAAATCATCCTACATTTCTGTTATCGATGGCTTGAGCAAATTGTGTCATTTGATCCTCAAGATTATGCACTAGCGATGGTCAAATTTGTCAGTCTACTAGTATGTCTTCGAATCTTCTGTGTGCGAGGCTGACAAGGACAACAGGGCTTAATCCAGCACATCTATAGCTACCATTATCCTACTAATGCAGCGCCCTCAACAATACTGGGCTAACAGGAATTGAGGAGGCGGTAAGGGACGGAGTAATGATGTTGAAAACTGGCAAGATGGTTTTCGAACATGGCATAGTAGTACGTGTATTGGGCTCGGAATCATTGTTTCTGATGAGCCAACTTGCTGAACCATCACACGTCCTGCCACACGCAAACTCACACTCATCAGTCAACTGCACGCTTCCAATGACTGCGGAACAAAACTCATTCATCAGGAATACCCCGGAAAAGTCATATACATCCCATACTAATAACATATGTTACGAACACAATGACAATCGTGACCATGCCCGCCCTACTCGTATACTACACCTAACGAAAGGTTAGCATGCTCAGCTGCCAATCCTCATGTATATGCCCGGACTGTGGGTGACACAGGTGTCACTGGACCGACTGGACCTCAACGCTCAGGAGCGACAGGTAAAAAAATTCCATGGAGGACCGAGAACGCGAAGAAAGGTGCCAATGGCCGCGTCAGGCTTGAGACAAATGCCCGCAACTACTCAGTCGCTCATTAAAAAAACATTGTATGCGGAGGAATCAGACTACAATGCAGTATGAAAGATCGTTTAGTAACAAGATAGTTGTTTAAGAGACCTGACTTGCAGACCGGGAGTACTGCGAATCTCGGTGATATCGCCTGACCGTGACTCTGGGAGCGTGGATACACACATAAGGAATCAGAGCACCCTCGAGTCCATGGCTCGTTCGGAGGACAAGTACTGGGAGGTTCCAGTGATTAGTAGTAAGTGTAGTTAATGCGCACTCACGGTTTAGGAACATCGCAGCAGTGGTCGCGGCAGGTGCCGCGCAGCAGTCGCAGCATTTTCACCATGCCCACTAAAAAGGCAACAGGTGGTGGTCATCATGATCAGGCGTGTCAGGATGATACTGGCGCAAAGAAATGACTTGCTCACCTGGAGTAACATGATTGCAAGGCGTCAATAACCAAAGAGTTCGACAATGCTCATTATCGGGGTTTAATAGCAACTAGTATTTGTAGCATTAGCGTTATGTAGTGAATGTACATTTTATGTTGCGACTTCCACTTTTGTCCTTCGAAAGATACCTGTCCACTCCACATGTCCAAGTCCATCACCTGTTTGCCTGTAAATCAGTTGTAGTTGGAGATGGAAAAGACCACAAGGGATGTCCCAAAACCGTTGCACAACAAAGCAGTCTAGCACACGGCAGAGCGTAACGTCGGATGAGATTGAGAGTATTGGCAATTTGGTCAGTAGGAAAGCTTTCGTCGTCGCATAAACAAGCATCAACAACTCCCCCTTCAACATCATTCCAAGTCCATCCTCACAATATTTTAGTCAAGCTCAACGAAATTTGAAAATGTTTGCAAGTATTCCTGGACCAAGATAGGTCTGTGTCCGTTTTTTCCGTCAAAAATCTCTGTCACGCCCGATCATGCCGGCCTGCTTTTCCCGTTTACTCACGCCACTTCTCATTCTTTCTTGTTCTCTCCTTTTCTCTCAGAGGTTTTAGAAAATGTTTGAGTTCGACAAGAGCTAATGTGGGAGTCGAGGAATAAACTCTCATGGGGATCATGAAGTGGGATCGTACAGCCACAATTATGGGGTGATAATGACCAAGGTATCCGTTGACTCCACAATGTTGCTGCGGAATTCAGGAGGCAAGTATTAAAGGAGTCAAACCAGGTTCGTCTCTCACTCGGTCATGGAACCTCCTACTCCCATATCATTTAGATTTAACGACCTTCCAACTGAGCTTGCCCTCATCATCTTCAAGCATGCGGCACAACCACCTTTTGTTCAACATGCCCCCTACACCCGAGATCTATACTCATCTGCCCTTTCACTATGCCGGGTCTCCAAAATTGTCAGGTGCGCTGTGCTGCCTGAACTTCTGCACACAGTGTTATTGTCAACAGCTCGCCAACTACTCGCTTTCATATGGGCTCTGCATATGCAGAAAAAATACATCGACCAACAACATGATCTAGCTTTTGATTACGCATCTTGCGTGGACATGATGACTTTCGGGGGCCTTTACAAAGCCCACCTATTCCCTACTTTCCCCTTCCTATGCCCAAGCTTGAATGTGAGCTTGATATCAGTTTGCTCGCTCCAGTCATTCTCAGTGCATCGTCCCTCGCAATCAACTTTAACAATCTAAACCTTCTTTCAAAATGCCTCAAACATGCGTGTAACTCCGATGTCGACTTAAATGTCGACCACAAAAAATCTTTGCTCCCTTGGAGCACAAGAAGTTTGACGCTATTGGGTATGTTCTTTCATCCATGGTGGCCCTTCGTGGGGTCTGTCCATGGATATGCTTTTCTGGCTTCCATCCAACACCTCACCCTACTCAAATCCGCATCCTTCCAAGAATGCCTGCCCTTCCAATGCAACTGTGTTAGCGAATTTGAATTTGAAGATTCTGTATCCTACCTGCAGCCTTTGTGCATCGCGCGTGCTCCTTTCAAAGGACTGCAAACATTCTCGTTGGCATTTCCGCACATCAAAGTCATTCCGCACACCGAACCCCGGCCGGTCGCTCAATGTGCACCTAAGGATTCAGGTATATGGGTGAAGTTATTCACGTTCCCTGCTTCCGTGCTACCGGAGCCTTGTACACCAGAGGAAACAGAGCGGTTTATTAAGACTGGAGCGAAGTTTACTCCATATGTTCGATTTCTGCCACGGTTGTTCCTTGATGCCAACTTGATATATTTTTGAGGCCTCACTGGCACGGGTGTCAGACAGACAGACTACGCAATGGGTTGTATTACGTTACATAATTTGAACATAGTTGAAACTTTTATGACGATAGCACTTGCTCCGCAGTAAGTTATTCCTTGTCTTGTCAGCAACACGAAGTCTACTAGAGCTGATCGCGGTGAAATCGATGGTCCAGCACGGGCTTACCCAAGTGACTTATTCCCAATGCACTTTGCCATTGTATAACATTTATATCTAAGTCACGCTCGACTAGGCGTCGGCTAATTTATGTAGCGCTATTACAACACATCATTTGTAATACCAGTTTGTAAATTTCATTCTTGCTGAATATTTGAAAATGTTTGGGAGGAGTCTCATCCGACGTTATGCACTGGACTACTTTTTTGTGCAACAGGTTTGGGCTACATGTCCCTCATGATAGTTCTGCAAACCTCAGGCTACGATATTCGATTAAAACGTATCAGCAAGGATCCGAAAGCCTGGAGATGATCCCCAACTACAACCGGGAATTTATGAGCAAACAGGTGACGGACTTGGTCGTGCGGGGTGGACAGGCATGTTTCGAGGGACGAGAATGTAAGTCATAATATAGAATCAGTACATAACGCTAATACTACAAATCCTCTCTCTAATAGTGGCTATCAAACAACGACAATACAGCATCATCGAACTCTTCGGCTATCGATGCCTTGCGATCATGTTGCAACTCCAGGTAAGTAAGTCATCTCTTTGTACCGGCATCATCCTGACGCGCCTGACCATTACCTGTTGCATTTCTAGTAGGTGCCACCTACATCACATCACAATGGCAATCGGCACCGCAGTATCCCTAGTACTCACCATAACCAACCGCGCCTGCTCTCTTGGCACCACCACTCTTCTCGCCCTCCGTATCTCAAACTCAGGTTCTGTCCCATCGAGCTGCGCGTACGACGGCCGAGGCTCGTACACCTAAGACAAGGAACATGTTCACAGACCTGTTGAGTCATATCTTTCAATGTTAAGTTTTGACATGTAGCAGCTCTTCCTCTCGGTTGGACCACACGTTTTACTGGAAACCACACTTTCAAACCTCAAGATTAAATGCTACGAGGGCTGTGGGTGAATTCCACAGCACGAAAATGGGCAATTGTCCGAGCAAACGAACAAAAGTGTCAGTGGCATGGTGAGTGGCACACGCTTTGCCTCGTCCACAGGTGCTTGTACACAAGTTTTTGCTTAAATACTTCTTGCGAAGATGAGAAAGCCATTACTCACTCCCCTCATTCGCGTCCTAAAATTCTAGCTTGCATCAGATAGCTCTAGGAATTCTATACTTTGCTTATTGCATAGACATGGAAACGGGTCCGGCACGTTACAACCCTATGGACGCACAGCGTTTCGACCCCCTGCGACGCACTAACATGGTCAGTATTTCCTTTGGTTTCATTACCTTACGTTTTCTTAACATCATTGTCCGCCTCCGTTCCATTTTTTCAGAGACTCGTCTCGCCTTTCAAAACCGGCAGTTCAAATTTGATGATGAGGCAGGACCCTTGCATCAGGACCGAGAAAACGAGCGCAAGTGATGCATGGCCGAACCACAAGGTTGTATTTGATCCTGTCGAGGGGAAAGGTTCTTATTTGGAGGGGTCGCGTCCATCCCTTACGGACACATGCTCCACTTCCGCTACACCTGTCGACGTATACCACTCCGCTGACATCGTTGTCACACGTACCATCATCCGCCCTAACCCCAATCCCCATCGTCGTCCTACTCGTATGCTGTCTCGCACACAGATGGTGTTTAAACGGATGTTCTCGCGCTCGCCATCTCCCACAAGCACATACTCTCCCTCTCCATCTTCTTCATCATCTGCGTCAACCCGATCCACTCCCCCTTCGCGCTTCAAGGGCCTGGTGCTCAACTGTTTCAGCACATCCTCATCTTTCGATAGTGATATCGACGATATGGAAATGCACAGGAGGGAGAGGCCTGTGTTACTGGCGATTGTGAAGGAGACAAGGGAGAGATATGAGGATGATCAGGCGTTTAAGGAGATTGTGGGGAGTGTCATTCCTGCTGCCGGTGTGAGGGACGGCCGTTGAGCCTGGTCTTTGCATGTCGTGGGTTAGATGCTTGTGAATGGGTTTGTTGCAGTTCTGGATGCCCTATTGCATATATACATCTTGTAACGCTAATTATTTACAATATCTCGGGACTGTCTGTGCACTTTCATTTATGTGTATTTCATAGTCACTTGGTTGTCATCTATCTTGTATCTGTTCGTGTCCGCTATGCGAGTGAGTGTTGCTTGATCAAAAGTGGGAGTTCAACGTTCAACTGGAAAATCGGCTTCCCCATCAAGTCATAAGTAGACAACGTAACATGAAGCTGGAGACTTTATCTGATGTTCAAAAAAAGACATACACAATTACAATATTTATAGCGTCCTAATGTCCGTCATGCCGTGCACAGATGTCATATCTTTGATTTGTGCAATGATATCGTGATCCGATGCGATCCTCTTGTATACCCCACTGCGCTGCCGGGTTAGCAAAGATGCGCCAAACAGCTGTCCGAGGCAAGCGATCAATCGCAATGCCTGTGAGTAAGATTCCGAATCGGTCAACTCCTCTTCTCCAGGCGAGCCGTCAAAGGACTCGAGCTCAGACCAGCCTCCCAAGCATTCTGCATCGTCCGAGTCTGCGAAGTCAGGCAGCTCGAGGAGATGATGATCCCAAGGACGGACAACTAAGAACGTCCGTCGAGTTGGTCTGAGCCACGAGAATTGAATCAGTTTCTCTTCGGTGATGATCAGCGGATCATCAAGCCCGTCTACCCTTCCGTATGTGATCAAGGGGGAGCCTCATTGACAAATAACTCATATTGACTTGCCACTTCAGCATTAACTGCAATAGAAGATTGAGCCAAACGCAAACAGGGTCTGGTCGACTAACCATTTTTCAGTGATGGAAGGGGTATGCCATGGCTCAGTGCTTGTTGCTAGTGTTAGAGGTATTGCGCACTTTGAGCGCATCTTGTAACAAAGTAAATGTCGTGACATATTGCTAAAGGACGGGATATGAAGGAGACACACCTCTTCCTAGTGATCCATGACATAAAATCATGCAAGGTTCAGGCCCGCATCAGCACGCGGCGCTGCTGCTACCGAACAACTTATCTCGGTCCTTTGATGCTTCAGCCTGCTGTTCTCCACCATTTCTTCCTTCGCCATCATGCGTCATTGCAGTGTGTGCAAGATCGAGTGTGAAAAGCCGCTACGATGCTCAAAATGTCAGAAAACTATGTGAGTACAAGCTGGTACGAGATAAAAACTTTTGATCTGACTTGTGATGATTGGGATAGCTACTGCTCGTACGTGACAAACACCAGCGTTAGCACTTATTAGACTGGGAGTCTAACATAATAATTCTCCTCTAGCGCGGACTGCCAGAAAGTTGACTGGAAGGTGCACAAACGCAGTGTCTGCACCAAGCCGGCCATCTTACACAAGGTGGACAAAATGATGAAAAAATGGGGCGGGCCAGGGTCGACGATGGACACCATCAATAAGATGGAACAAATGGCTTGGGAAGAGCGTCGACGGAACCCGATCCCTGTGTCGAAATGCGATGGTTGTCTTTTGCGATTCCGTGGTACTCCTCCAGATGAGGATGACGAGGACGACGAGGATGATGTGGAGGGTGTAGGAGATGCCTTCAAGCGGTGCACGACTTGTGATTACACCATTTGCGAAAATTGTACGCACCCAGATATGCAAGGTACGTTTCATGGTTTTCATCTCTCCATTATTACTGCTAACTCTTTGAACCTCAGGTGTGCCATACTTTGATCGCCCGCCAGGTACTTGCCGCTGCCTAAAGTCGAACTTTGGTGAAAGTTACTGCTTGTCGTCGCCCTGCTACCTTCACGGTGATGGTAGAAAGCCATACCACGGTGATAGACACCCTGATGTGGTGAGTAGTGGGTATGGTGAAGATGCATTTGAAGCGAAGGAGCGGAAGTGCAGGACGTGTGGTGTGATTGCGCGATGCTTGAAGAAAGAGCATCTGAAGGATGCGGTTCCTGGCATGAATTAACCATGTAAAATCTTGCAAAACTCACTTATGCAAAATTGTCTGTCTTCCCTTTTTCTAGCCTGAATTGTGTCTATACTGGGTCTTCTTACATAAATAACGTGTTGTTGAATCAACCTGCACTGGTGATAGGCACTCGTGCGAAGAGTTTAGGGCAAGCGGGGCCCTCCAGCTCAATGCTCGGAGGACCCGCAATCAATTTTAATACTGGGAAGTGACAGCTCGTTTGAAAACAGAGAAGTACGTATAGTAAATAGAAAGAATCAGTAATGTACAAGTCACCAAATGACTGGTGACTGAGCCCCCTCCAAACGACTGGTGACTGAAAAGTCGAGAAAGTCAAGTTTGACTCTCGACCAAGCGCTAGAGGGCTATTTTTCTTTTTTTTTTATTATTATTATTATAAATAATGCTGATGACGTACTTAGAATCCCCAGACTGTTACAAGAAGTTGATGCAAACGAGAATTCAACCAAGCAATTCGAGCGTTAAGCTGTCAAATCCAGTGAGTTACGGATTTTGAGAACCGTGTATAAGCAAGTGAAGCAGATAAGGGTGCTTTCGAATGTATTTCTGAAACTCATCCGAAGACCAGCGTCCCGCTGCCTGAATCAGCGCAGGCGCGACACCAGTCGCAGCTAGGGCAGTGGCACCCCCGGCTCGCATCGAATGTCCAGAAATAGTTGGGGGAAAGAAACGCCGAAGGTAACGCATGAACCATGCGCGCGTCGGGATAGTGCCACTCGTAGTCAGCCAGAGGTGTGGATGGTGTGGAAAGCGACTGTCGCGAGCACGTACATACCGTTGTAGGAGAGCTAGAGGATTCACTCTAGATTCAGGCTCTGCCATCACCAAGATCTCACATCCTACTCCCAAAGTGCTCGTCTTATGGTGAGGTAATGTGTAGCTTGCCGATGTTGCAGACAGCATGAGAGAGTGGCGTAGCGCCACTTTACGATAGGATTGGTGTCGTTTTGCATTAGGCCAGCAGAGCTCTGCGAGACGTTGCAAACTCTTGAAACCTGTAACCAGCATTGCCACGAATAGTGTATCGTCGTACTCTGTAGATGATGCGAATGTGTTGACCACAAGAGTGAGATCATCCAAAGTGAGTGGTTGTTTGCGTTGAACAGGCTTAGATAAGCGACGTTTGCAACCCTTCAGAGTTCGCGTGACGAGCAAAGATGTCCGTATTTCACGAACGTGCGGGAAGTGTGTCTCCAGACGATTGACAATTCCCGAAAGATATGAGTCCACGGATCGTGGCTCGATATGATGTGATAGCCACACCACGAAGAAGGACAGCGTGTCCGCAGTTGGCTCTACCTCCCGGTGATGAAGTCGACAAAAGTTGAGATAGGAATTTAGATGCGAGTCGTAAGCTGAAGCTGTGGTGGATTCAATAGCGCAGCCAAGGGCAAGTGAACGCTCTAGCTGTAAGTGTTCGAGAGTCCAAGCTTCCCGCACGGGTTGCTTGGACTGTGTGGTACCTCGGATCATTTTTCTGCCACCCCCAGCGCATCCCGAGGGGGTTCAAAGTCAAAAATCTGCGCCGAAGGCACGAGATCTTTCACGAGCTCATTGTGAAACCGTGAGAGTGCGTCAGCGATGACGTTCTGCTGACCTGGAATATGCTCAACCCGCAGGTCAACGCTATAGCTGATTAAGATATCCACGGCCGAAAGTAACAGTGAATTATAGACGGGTCTTGCTCGAAGTGAGTCGAACATTGCCACAGTATTCGAATTGTCTGTGTAGATGAGTAACTTTGCCGGGAATGAATTTTATCATTGGCAGGTTTCAAACCTGCATGGTCCAAGAGAAACAGATTTTAACTCTGGTGATCACTTGATAATTTCATCTTTGGCGGGTTTCGAACCCACGCAGACAGATTTATATTCTGTCGCATTAACCGCTTGGCTGAACGTGCTCAATGCTGATGACGGTCGAGACGAAAGAACTAAAGACCGAAGTCTGCGTCACCAGCGTTTAGGAGACTCAGTCACGGCAACATGTCACAATCAGTGACAAGTATGTGCGTAGAGCTGAGACTCGGCCAGAGCCGAGTGCGAGCGTTGATTCAATTCGTTTAAACCAATTAAAACCCAATGCAACGTCACCGTTAGGCCTCCCTCACACGCACACTTCATGATATGACGCGCCCAGTTGATCTACTTAGTACTAGCAGCAACTTGTTCAGCAAGCCACACCACCGATCAGTGAAAGCAGAAGTGCCAAATAGAGAGACCAACCTTAAATTGATGCCTTCAGGTTCCTCGTTCGTGCTCAGTGTAGAATCGTATCTCCAGTGGCACAGTTATTGATAAAGCTCGGTGCGTACTGTTTCTCGATTTCTTACATATAAGCATTCTAGCTGCAGTACTCTAGCCCGCATTCTGGATTTCCAAGAGCCCAACGCTGAGAAGAGCACTCAGGCTGCGATAGATCTACACGTTGCAGCTGAATCTGGGTAACCGTGACTTCGCTGTGTATGGTGCTGCCAGCCTTCTCAGCTACTGTCCTGTCGTGAAGGTCAGAGAGACGACTGCCACTTCCCGCCCGCTCCAATTCGTGGGCAACGCTTTTAATATTTGGCTGATTTGTATCAGCAGGGACTTTCTGCATCCACACCAGATGGTTCGCTAGTGTAATGCTAGCGCACCTCAGATTTTGCACATGACATATCTTCTATTCGGTCCACGAGCAGGAAGAAATCAAAGAACCTCTCGTTAGCTGCGTCGCTGTCGTCAACCTCGTTGATCCCACGTCAACTCAAACATCTACAAAGTCTTGTGGCGATAAATACAGGGAGCTCGGTGGGAGCCTCTACCAAACCTCTACCCAGCTTTCCTCACCCAGGGCCCTGGTCCAAATCCAATGTTGTCTTTACTTCTGATAGCTTCAGCCATTCTTCTCCCGATTCTTGCATCTGCGGAATACTCCTGTGACTCAGGAATAACTATGTGTTGCTCCAACACCACGACTGTGTGTCATGATCATTGATTTGGAAACGGCTTTCAAACATGCTAAATCTTAACAGACAAACACAACAACCGCTGAAAAAATCATCGCTGCATATTCTATCAGTGAGTCTGGGTTGAGCGGTCTCATCGGCTACGGATGCAGTGCTATCAAAACCACGGATAATGGAAGTGTTTCAGCGTGTATCAACGAGACTGCTTGTTGCACCGGGCAGTACTATGTGAGACATCGACGCTGGTCCTGTTTTACACTGACATTTGATCATAGAGCGGTGGGATTGCTGTCAATTGTACCGCCACTGTGAGCGTGTGAAGGTCCATGAACTTCCCCCTGGAGAAACGTTGCTTTGACGTGCCCGATTCGAAGGAGTGTAATCTACCTGTTGTCTGTACTCAAGGATCTCGTGTATTTTGGATCATGATTATGATTCATCTCCTTTCTCTTGCGTTACATTTATATCTTGCTGAATTGTTCAAACATGGAAAATCGTGATATGTTCTTGTGATACAGTGGACGTTTCGATTGCTTACTGCACCCACTAGCATACTAACAACTTTGCGTTGATATTTGTTTGGCAAATGCGCTGATTTTATTCATCTTGCGACATGCAAACAACTTCTCGTCTCGTGCATATGCAAGAATCCAGAAGGAAGTGACATGGCAAGGAATCTGTAGACAACTTAAGGACTCAGGCCTCAGGACTTGAATATACCAACTCAGCGACTTCAGAACCTACTAGACTACAACACCACATCCACAAAAAAATCTCAGCATCGCAAATCGCCTCGATTACTATAAAGCGAAGCGTCGAGAAGGCCTTGTTTCATAAACGGTACAGAGAAAGGCGGAAGATCAAATGGATTGGTGATGGTGGCACTCAGGGCTGTCGCGAGTTCCTCCCCACCAGATGGGAACAGTTCAGGATATGCACGAGAGGGCGTTCCAGGTAGATACCAGGCGGGGTCAGTGACTTCTCTTGTCGGCGTTGAAGGTAGCAATGGCAGATCATATTGAGAGGGATGGTTGTAGGCGCACGGGTCCGCGTTGAACGGGTCATCAGGACACGGGGAATTGGCTAGCGGCAGCGGCTGAGGCGCAGAATCTCCGAGCAAATCTTTGATGTGGCTGGCTTGTCCAAAAAGTCCAACCGGGGAACATAGTGGTTTGGGATGCTTCCCATCAACAGACGTGATGAATATGGTGGGTGCGACGGCGACGTGCGCTTTTGCTGATGTGGAGCGAGCAAACTTGCACAGCCATCGCTTCTCCTGCAGCTGTTGTTTTAAGTTTGCAAGGTATCCAGACGCAGGCGAGTCTTTGAACTTGGCAGACCAATGGGGAGCAGGAGAGACGATCATGTCAGAAGAGGTATTCAGGGATTTGATTGGAGAGATGTTCTCCTGAAGCTTAGCATAGTGACTCTCGCCCAGCGAAAGCTTCTCTAGGGTTGCGCTAAGCTGTCGCACGATGTAATCGCCCGCCGAATGAGAACGTAGGTTAAACATGGACGGAGATGATATCAAGGCAGAGGATGCACCAGACCTGTCTGTGACGGTGTCTACAGGGGCTTTCGGAAGAGGAGCTGAAGTGGTCTTCGAAGGGCGCATACCAAACAATGAACGGGACGACTCCTCCGATGGAGCTATGCTCTGTTCAGCGGTGGTAGACCGGCTAGTAGATTGTGAGAAGATGCGCGTATTATTGATTCCTGACAGAAGACGCGAATAGCTGGTGTTCCATTCGTAAGGCGGATGTCTGGAAGGAGGTGACAAGCTCATATCAGATTCAGGATGGGGCGATGGGACTGAAGTAGTCTGCTGCTCAACCGCGACCTTTCCCTTCAAACGGTGGTGCCTAATGGACTTGAAAATGTGACTGAGTTTGATGGGCGAAACTTCAGTGCTTGCACCGCGGGTCTTGCGATGGCGTTGCTGCGTTTTACCAGTCTTGAGCTTGCCGAGAGAGAGAGAAGGATGTGGCATTCTGAAGATGTCGTAGAGCACAAGATCAGTAAAGGCCAAAGCGATCACTGTTGCCTCACTGTCAAACATTAGGAAGATGACTGACCAACTAAGCTAGTCATTCCAATGATTTTGGGATGGTCTAGATGTGAACATTTAGTTCTCGACTGTCCTGGATCTATGCGGCAAATAACGGCCGTCTCCTGCGGTATAAGAAGGCTAAACCCAAGTACGAATCACACGAAACTGAGGAAATCTCAGTGCAAATATGTTTATGGTGCACATCGCAGGACCAAGTTGGCTTTCTACCATGCATGTGATTGCTAGACAACCCACTTGGTCCTTGATACCGCATGCTCGAGTTTTTAAGAGTAGTGGTGGGAGGAAGAAGCAGGTCAGGGGATTTAGCCGACTCTTGCCAGGTACCCAAGAGGTACCCGCTCGGGAAATGCCGAACATAAGGCAGGGAGGGGGGGGGTCCCCCAGAGGTCCTTATTTGCGTAACCTTGGGGGGTGTCAAAACAGCTCCTGTTAGGTTCAAACACCAGTCTGAGCATCAAATGTATATTACTGTATCAAATATAGATTGTCTTAGATTGCAGAACATGATGACAGACGATAATTGAGCTGATTGAGACTTGATCGGGACCTAAACGCACACCCTGAACACCCAGCATGTCAAAGAAAAAAGCAAAGGTGTCCCAGCCAACCGTACGAAATAATCTCTCTCAGGGAATGAGTCCTCTGAACCTAATCTTATCAGGATGTCAACACTTCTCGGAATTGCACTTCTTGCAACCGGGATGTGAACATCGGCCTTGGAGGCGAGGCCAATTGGAAAGCTCATACTGAGAGTCTTGAGCATCGGAAAAACACCAGTGCAGTTCAGAACAATCGAATGCTCACCTCTTTTTTCCAGCCAAAAAGTGTAAGTATGCAATCAGTTGCTGTCGCTGGCCCTGCAAAAGCTTGGCAGCCTGTAACTGGCACTGGTGAGGCACAAATTGCCAAACTCAGTGCTGCACCAGCAAGCAAACAGCTGCCATCGTGCAATGATAATGTCATTGACATTGAAGCACGAGAACTGGCGAATACGTCTTATGCGAGATTCGACTTGCGAGAGGCGCCGGAGGTTCCGAAGTTGTCGACATCAGTCGCTCGCGCTGCCCGAATCTATTCAAGATCAAGTTGAAGAATGCACGCAAGTCAACAAAGCACTCGCCTTGTACAAACACCCCGCTTCATTGCCCGTATTGCGACAGTGATGCTGCTCCAGTGTGGAAATACTCGCTGTCACGTCACATTGATATACTGCACCCATCAGCGAATAAGACACGCTTCGAAGAATTGTGGAGAATTGACAACGAAGAGAGCACACAAATATCAACAAAATTCAAAATGAAGGCTCGGAAACGAAAGCAAATGACAGCGACATCGATGCTGCGGATTTCTGAAGAGCACAGTTCAAGAGTGGCATTACGACAGTGAGTTTCTGTATGAATGAGTCGTGTCTGGATTGAGTAGACTAATGAGCACCCGAACAGACAACGGACAACGGACCACTACACCACTGAGTCTGTGGCTGACTCCGAATCGGCACAAACATCTCTTGCTCAATCATCATCTGCCATATTACTTGGTAAACGTCTGCGAGGTTTGTCTGATGCGAGTGATAGTCAAGCCGTACCTTCTGCACCAAAACCTCGTCTCACCATCAAGATTCGTCCCTCAGCAGCACGCCTCAGCTTGGTTCAAGTGAAGAATCGTGTCATTCCAGACTCGGATGCAGACACTCAGCCTGATGACCCATTCCAAGATGAATTTTGCTGGTGTCGAGGGCCGGAGTCCGGAGAAATGGTCCAATGCAGTTTTGATAGCTGTAATGAATGGGTACCTGTCTTGTTTCGATGTGCTTCTATCACCGTGGCTGATTCCGTTTTGATACTAGTTTCATTTTGAATGTGTTGGTTTGCTTGATGCTCCAGAGGCAGATTGGTTCTGCAGTGATATGTGCAGGAGCAACACCAGCTCTCAGAAGAAGACAAAGTAATGTTTTTATAAATCTAAAAGTCGTATATACGATGCCTAGGATGTTTGGCAATACATTGTTCGTTGCTCGTCCGCTGTTGGTGCCGCAGAACTTACCAAATTTGGTATACCCCTGGGCGTGGGAAATTCCTACGGGAGAGGGTCTGGGAGGGTCTTAACGATGTAAGGTGGCCTCATGTACATTTTTTCCCGAGCGGGTACCTCTTGCAGGTACCCGGTATTCTACGACTCTAGGGCCAGTCTGGGGCTTAAACTTCTGGTTCCTAACGCCCACATCTATGCCTCATGTTGGATTCCCTTTACTCTTAGAATGCTTGCATCTGGTTACTGGATGTGTTGTGTCAACATCACCTCGGCTCTATCCTTGAAGCTTGAAGGTCCGTTTTAGTCCTTGACTTCATAGGCAAGGTCGGACAGCATCAACGTGCTCAAACTTCAGAGCACTTACTACCCTTTGTGGGGCGTGAAAGACAACAAAGGGGGCTTTCAGGAGCAATAGCCTTTCATGAATGTTGCATTGACAATCGTTTGAAGCTCCGTCTGTATTGTATATAAACACTCATCTTCACTTCTGTCGTTCCCAATATTTACTGAGCATACTTTCTACCATACCCAAGATGCCCGACGTAACAGTAATCAATAACCTTAGTGAAGAAATTCATGTTGCTTTCTTCGTAGGCGTCCCCACCAATTGGAAAAATCACCTCAAGCCCGGAGAACGTTGGACAACGCACCTAGCCAGCCTCCCGCTTCACTTTGAAGCACGCTCTGTGACCGGGAATCGCGAGTTCAGCCACAACGAATCCATGGAGATGTTTGCAACCATCGGAGGCGCTTGCGCTGCTGGTACTGCTTCGGTAGTTTCAGCAGGTGCATTGTTTGCCGGAGACATGCTTGCTGGCATACCCGTGGTTTCGGTGCCACTTATGGCTGCTGCGAGTGCTGGTGAATTTCGAGGTATTTTTTGAATGTCATGATGTTGATGTTGTCCTTTGACTCCAGGTGGTACGAAATATGGTGAGTGGGGTGCAGATGTGAGGAAGTGCACTGCGAGGGTGTGGGTGCCGCTGTGGGACCAACCGCAGTATTCTGTTAGAATGGTTGATGGGAGGTGTGTTCTGTGGGATGTCGATGCTGATAGAGTGGTCTGATAGCTATGGCTGACGAGCTGTATGACTGACTCTCATGATGCACGTTCCATTTGTACGTCATTGTCATTGTACATATCAGTAGCTAGCCAGGTCCAGGGCCTGCATGATAAACTACGCCAACGTCCTGTTGATGATTCTGTAGTAGAGTTTAGTAACGCCTATTGTATAAATTTGGCTCTTACGGAGATAATCTTGGATGGTACAAGTTCCCACCCCGAACCTTGTCGTCGCCTTCAGCGACCAGGTATCGTTACCACCTCTGATTAATCTGATTACTCCGTTACTCCCATTCTACAAGTGTCATGCACATCTTCCATATCTCCATTATCCGCTCTCCTCCAACACTACACAATTGAAGGACACGCGCAGCTGCTGGACAATTCTCAACGGCCACTCGCTGATAATCCCACCCACCCGGCACTCAGCCCATCTTCGTTCCTTGTCATGTTACTGCATCACCCGCATCATGCCTAGTAACTTAGAGGGCCGGTATATCAGACTGGAAGAGCTTAGGTGAATCACTCACATCATCTTCATATCTATTTTGTGCAACAGAATACCTGGTTGCACCTTACTTGCCATGGTACGCAGGACTTCACAATTTTCATTTCATAATGAGATATGAACTCTGACGCAGCTTGTATGCTGTGTTTCTATCAGCATAAAATATTACTGTCGTCGATGATCAGACGCCCAACGAAGTCATCCAGCATGCAACCGGACTGCAATTTTCACGGCTCGAGGGCGTCGTTGGCACGCTGTGGGAGGTCGAGGACGCTGTCGCGAAACACGTCGTCGAATCTATTTGTACGAGAATACGTTCAAGGACTTGGAGGATGGTGTTGTCACGGACTCAACAAAGCGGCCCAGGGACTCGAGCATGCTACATGTTCCAAGAAGGGAAAATAATTGTTTTCATTGGTATTGGTGTGTAGTTGTATTGCTGTCGTCTGTTACCGGTCATTGATCATGAATTCTCTATTCTAGTGTACAAATTACCTTCATACTCTTGCAGTGTAATTCTCATACTTTCGATATACCTCACTTTCGTGTTTATCTTACTCAAGTCACGACGAAAATACTGCGACATCGTCTTCTGTGTGAGTGTGAGTCGACCTGGTACTTCTGACTCAGTCTTCAAATCCTTCTGCACCTCAACCTCAACTAAGCACTCATTGTCGAACAGCCTCCGAGTCGAGATAGAGGCGTAACTCATCCATCAAGTAACTTGGCCGTTTCGTCAATGCCTTGGGTGCGTCTGCGTGCTTGCATCTACTTGATGACAAATGTAACTCACATGGACGGGGTGCTATGAGGTCAGTTTGGGAAACATGGCAAGTACCACTCAATCGACTTGGAAATATGTTTCGTTTCGTACGTGCCACATTCGCATCATTGTTATAATGATATTTGGTGATTAAAAATAGTAATGTTCACAGGACAAGAGCACATTGTGCGACCTAGAAGGAACAATAACTCTGCTATGGGCCACCGGGTCACAACTTGTGGTCCCAGCCACAATTGATGAGGAAAGTATTAAAGGCAGGCTCCTTCTCACCAGCTTAGCATCTTACTCTTCTGTCATGGAGTCTCCTATTCGCTCTCACTCTGGCAACCTTCCTATGGAGCTTCTCATTCCCATCCTCGAAGATGCAGCCCAGCTGACGTTTTCCCCAGGGGAGCAACACGTCGATAAAAATTTCTATTCGACAGCCGTCTCCCTATGTCGCGTTTCTCGACTTTTCAGACGCATCATCCTCCCCAAAATGCTGCACACGGTATTTCTCCGAGGTCATGAAGTGACAAAGTTCGCAAATGCTCTGCTTATGCAGAAAGCGTACGCTGAGAAAGAAAGCGACCTTTTCTTTGACTATACCTCTGCTATACAGAGGATGTGGATCGGTAACCACTGGGCAAGCCTCTCCGAAGGACTGCCTGAGTTCAAGCTGAACATGAGCATACTGCTTCCGGTCATCCTTGCTGTACCAGTACTTGCAATTGACTCTGAGCATTTACAGCTTCTTGTTCGGGGCGTGGAAGATGCGTGGACCACTCACGAAGATCTCAATATCGACCGAGAATACTGCCCTTTTCCTGGAAAAACTCAGAATCTGACGATAATGAGTTCCAACGGCTCCTGGGATCCCTTCGACCATAATAAAAAAACATCCATTTTCCTCGCATCAATCCCCCGTCTCACATGCCTGCCCGCTTTAGAGGTGTCTTCAGATGTTTTTCGTGACATCAGCAGGGGCTTAAGATCCACCGGATCCTCGCTGCAGTATTTGATGGACAAAGTTCCGTGGGCTCAGATGACGAACCTTCAAACCTTTTCAGTGGTCTATCCGCATCTCGGTCCCCCCTTCAGCATGCGTTCATACATCGATCCTACAAGGGGACTAGACCTGCATGTGGAGCGGCTCAATGTGTCTGCTCCCCTGTACAAGCAGGACCCTCACTCCTTCCCGTGGGGAACACCGCCGTTTTCTGTGACCAATCCTGGAGAGAAGAACATTCGAACGAATGGTCTTTCCCTCGAGGTCACACGTAAACAGACACACTTCTGCCGATTGTTTTTCTCGTGGGAGAACGCTTGGGCCTGCGGATTAACTGACGATGAGGGGTACAAAGAGAATGTAGATGATATGATAGTATGATATGTGCCTGTTCGCGATCAGTTTTCCCTCTTACTGTACAATTACTGTAGACTTTTTATACCCGGACACTTACTGTACACTTCTCATACCCAATACCTAGGACGCAGACTCTATCATACACGAGTCATAAGCTAGATCATCGAATCTCAAGTTTGCAAGTTGTGTACATAGCGATAAAACACTCTTACGATCTCTCTTTAAAGTTGCGTACTTGCGCATTTCGTTCAAGCAGGTCTTGGGAATCGATGTGATGAAGGGGTGATATTTGCATGAAACTATATACATACGTTCGAATGACTAGCGTGGGATGTGCTGGAGTAGCTGCTCGATGCGAAAAATAACCATATCTATGTGGTCATGCAAGATAGATAGTCAGAATCAAGCGCCAGGAAGTGCCTAGTACTGCTCGATTGGATGTGACAAGACACATTCTGGAAGCTTTGAAAGAGTCGGATGCCTACATGTACTGAGGCGCTGGGAGGGTATACTGTCGAGGATGGTGGGTACGACAATAAGGTGCAATCTTGCTATAACCATAACAGTAATCAAGGCATGGATGGAGGGAAAAAGCCACGCGTTCTGAGTATCTATGGGAATGAGGCAGGTTGACGTAGCATAAAACACGCAATACACGCACCTATGCAGCTTAGGGAAAGTTCAGAGAGACCCACGATCCCTCGAAAGTCCACTTGGACCGCGACCAACGCCATCAACCTCCGATAGAATGTCGAAGCTCATTCCAATCACGACATTCCTGCGAGAGTTCAAAGGCCATGAAAAGGACGCGACGGTAGTCGCAGGGTTCCCCGATAAACGACAGATGGTTACAGGCTCGACCGATAAGACACTTCGTGTGTGGGACTTGAATGCAGATATTGTGTTGAGGAAGATGGAGCATAGCAGGGAGGTGTCGGGATTGGCATGGTGTCACAAAGTGGGTAATTGATAGCAAGCGGCACTAAAGGTGAACAGGTCATCGTCTGGCACGGAAAAACTATCACTTACCCAACATCAAAGCCCACTCCAAAGTCCAATTAATCTTCTTGCTGGACTTTTCTCCTGATGGTACAGTACTGCTTACTGGTTCATGGAACGATACGACAAAGCTGACACCAAAATCTGGAAGTAACAAGGAGATCCGATCGAGTATGATATATGGTGTGGTTCTCACTGTCATCTATCATAAATCAAAAAGTAGGCATTACCAGGGTTCGAACCTGGGTTCCGGGAAATCGTATTATCAAAATCCCAAGTGATGACCACTACACTATAACGCCAGCGGTCTTTGGACGGAAATTGACGCAATTGAAGAAGACATCTCTATCTCTTTCAAATACCATGCGTCTGGCATCGTTATTCCCCATTGCTTACTACTGACGGCTGATGCTGTCCTACCGCATTCGCGTACTCCATATACCACTAACGCGCCAAAACTTGCGCACCTCCAGAATCAAGCTATTTCAGTAACCTCAGCACCAAGAATCACAGCGGCGCACCGGTTAATTTCCCAATCAATACCTTGGGGGTATTGAAGCATTCCTCGCAAAACATATAACAGGTATGTCCGAGAAGTCTGGTCGACTGCAAACCCAGTCAAACCCCACAGTAGACACTCAGGCTCGTGAGTATTCTTGTGACTAGGCTATCGTTCGCTAATCTGATGCTCCAGGCTCTCAGATCTTAAGAACACGCACATAACGCTGCAGGTAAAGTCTGGTCAGTTAGAACATGGATGGAGACCTCGAGCGAGCGGAACCTAGTACCAGTGCCCAGCACACAGATGATGGTATGCACACCATAACATTATATCAATCTGGCAGAATGCTGAAGAACTATGACAGATAGCCGACGTGAAGAGCAGGTCCGCGTTACGACTAGAAATGATTCAAAGAATGTTGCAACAATGTCAGGAGATAGCTCAGCACTTGTGGCAGTGTGGATGCAACGACTCCAAATGCTCACCCTTATAGTAGGTCATTGCTCAGCACTCTGATTACATGCTTCTGGAATAAACCATCAGACGACATTTCTCGCTTCGATCGATGGAGAACTTTTCGTGCTTACCTCCACATCGTCGCAGACGACACTTGATGCCCAGGAATTTGTTTATGCGTGTTTTACTGGCGCCCTCGTTTTCCATGTTTGTGCTGGTGAGTGTCGGGATGGTTCGAGGAAGTGCGAGGTGCTCACGAGCTGACTTAGCGATTCTGGGATATGTGGCATCTTTTGCTCTCATCCGGTATCAGATTGGTGATGTAGCTCCTTCTGATACACAGAACACCGAGGTGGGCGAATTTTCTAATCCTGGTTTGCACCAACCTGAGATCATGCATGGGACGCAGCGGATGCTTATAACCATCCCTCCTTTTGATGCTGCCAACGGCCTTCTTCAGATGCCCTTGAATTCGGGGATCCAGGTTAGATCCAGAACGTCCATTCCCCCACTGGATCTCCTGACTCGGTGCTATTTTACGACTTTGGCGCTAGGTAGTGTTGGCTTTATTTTGGTACTTCTTGGCATCGCTGGTTACGCATGGGTGATATTGCGGCAGGTTGTAGGGATATTCACAATAGTTTGTCTTGGTGTTAGCATCGTGGCATCTGTGTGGGCGGTGCTATAAACTACGCACTTTAACCGCAGGTCTAGATTCTCCCAAGTTTGATAAAGCTAGTAGGTGTCGGCACCGACAGTCGACTTCTCTAATAACCTGCAGAGGATGTCCAGTGGCAGATCCAACATACATGACCATCGTAGCGTAGATAAACAAACCACCCTTCTTACTGTACAGGACAAGGTGTCTTGAATCTGCAACTGAGGGCTTGCGCGGCCGCCCAAAAACAGCGGGGCGGCTTGCCGATGCTATTCTGTCCAGTGGTGCTCGCAGACATCCTGAGAACTTGCTTCTATCCACTAAGGAGCGGCTTGTGATTGTCGAGTAGATGGCAGGCACTGGGCAAGTTTGGGCCTGGAGCGTCTTACTGCAAGTTCCAAGCACATGAGTAAAACAGGTTCTAAAATGCTAGTTGCGGGGATTGCCGGAGCCGGTGACATTCTTGGATGGGCATCTAATTCTCAAGTTGTCAACGCATCCGAGACAACTTTGAAGCTGGCGAGATAAGTACTAGTAGCGACCGGTCGCTCTTTCAAGTTGTTCTCATTTCCTCAGCTACGGTGAATACTACGATATCTCCAGCACTAGCGTTCGTGCAATCATGTTGACTGAGCACTTGCCGTGCCAACTTTAAGCGCTCTACGTAGTAGTACGGTCGCTCTACGGTACGCAACCGTGTTCTCAGACTTCTAAATTAATATCTGATGGCCTTTCCTAAGTTTTACTTATATGCATATATATACATCATAGTATCTTCGATTTAACGCCTCGTGGCCATAGCGCCGCTAGGCAAACATGGGTTAGTGTGTTGATCGCGATGCATTACGGTTTGCCATGATCAGACGCCAGTCGATGGCTGGTGGCGACTTATCTGCTCGTCTTCGATGGCGACCGAATCACACTGATGGTGACTCGGAACTTCGCACTTTACGTTCTTCTGAACTAGAACACAGTGTGATAGCAGACAAGTCATTCTAATTTTTCGCAAATATTCAATGCACCATGGATGAGCGATACGATTCGCGCTTAAGCATCGTATCATGATCCGTAACTGCCTGTAGCCACAGGCTGACTCGGACACTAACTAGGGTGCCGGTCAGCCTACTTAGGCAGGTACCACTGATGGCAGCGTGGGGATCCTCGTGGACCCCGTCGAAGCTTCCTCTACGTCGTTCCCATGATATATCAACGCCAACTTGAGATCCGCAGGGCGCAACCGGTCGATTAATCGACTTCCTTGAGAGTCGTGCGCAATGCATATATAAGGGTGGGTCCCAGATGACCTGTCAATTCAGTGGACACTCTGCAGTGCTCAGTGTTGCAACGCTGCACTTCGGTGAGGAATCTTGTGACCAGCCTATATCCACTAACTGTATCTGCAGGCAGCCAACTCGTAAAGATACTCGGCACGCAACTTTGTTCTCCCACGAAAATCTGCAATGTCCACTCAAAGAGATCTCGAACGAGCAGAGCCTGGACCTAGTTTTGGTATGTATTTGGCAGCATTCTATTAATCCAGCAGAAATATTGAGAATGCACAGATGCTCAACGAGATGAACAAGTCCGCGGCAAGGTTCAAAAGGATGTGCAAACACCCACGGGAGACGATTCGGCGATTGTGGCAGCATGGATGCAACGGATCCAGACACTCACTCTTATAGTAAGTCATTGCTCAGCGACTCTGGTTACATGGATCTGGAACGACCCCTCAGACGACATTTCTTGCTGGCATCGATGGAGAGCTCTTCACCCTCACCTCCGTATCGTCGCAGGTAACAGTTAATGCAAGCTTAGACTCTCAGGAACTCGTGTATGCATGTTTCACTGGTGCCCTCGTTTTTCATGTCTGTGCTTGTGAGTGCCGCGATGTTCGGGGAAATACGAGACACTTACAGCCCGTGTTAGCAATTCTGGGATATATCGCGTCTTTTCTTCTCGTTCGATACAAGACCATCGACGCAATACCCCCTTCCGATATGAAAATTGACGCCCTGGGAAAACTTCCTGATACTAGTTCACCTCACGAAAGCATTAATGGAAAGCAACTCTTGCTTAAAGCCATCCCTCCTTTGTATATCGTACAGTCCCTTCTTCAGATACCTTCCGGGGTCCGATTCCAATCCAGGACGTCCACTGCCCCACTGGATCTCCTGACTCGGTGCTATTTTATGATTTTGGCGCTAAGTGGCGCCGGCTTTATCTTGGCACTTCTTGGCATCGCCACTTATGCATGGTTTGGACTGAAGCGGGTTGTTGGGATATTCACGATAGCTTGTATAGGTGTTAGTCTGTTGTCAGGTGTGTGGGCGATGGTGTACTGATCCACGTGCCTTGGCTACGTGATTATCATGTTGTTAACGACAATACGAACTCATTCACGATTTATTTGAAGCTGTGCACTGAGTATTTCGAGTGTTGTACTCAAGATTCATCGGTAAATGTCGTTGTGTGTTCAACATCGCAAACGGGAGCATCTCATCATAGTTTGATTATAGTGTCCGCCAACTTAGTCACCGCAACTTTTGCCAAAATAAACACTTTGCACAGGTGGTTCCCGTAGTAAGAATTTACAAAAATTTAACCTGTAAGCCGTACTGAGTACTGAGGGCCGGGCCCAGGTCTTTGAAGGGCTTGTACAAAAGTAGCGATGACTGAGTGATGCGTACCATCAAAGGCGCGTCAAATATAATTCCCGATACTCCTTCAAGCTTCAAATTTCACAAATGCATCTCAACTACATCGTCAAAATACTAATGCTAAAAATCTATGCCATAGCATTCTTCTTGTACTATGACACCTGTCGTTCAAACCACAAATACTCAGCATAGCATGTGAAGTAATGATTTATCATGTCGCATGCATCAGGTGGCGCATCAAAAGCTCAGCGCAAGCTTGCTAACTTATCTGCACTGCAGCCGATGTCGATGATCCCTTGTTTTACTAGTCGCCTTTTACGGCAGGTGTTGTTTTTCTCAGTTTGTTCGACTCTTTGACTTTACCACAATTGCAAGCGCATTTCTTCCAAAATTCTCATTCCGAGGTTGATTTAAATCTCCCTGTCGACAGTCCCGGCCACATTGGTGAAATACATATGATGCCATTTTGCCATAGGAGTACGAGACATGTTACAGGTACACAATTTGCAAAATGGATCAGTGGCCCATGTGCTTACGCTCAGTGAATGCTGAAAGGAAGGTCCAGATCGAGTTACGGTACTACAGACCTCATGTCGCTCAAGCCCTACTCAGGTCCCGGATGATATTGCAAAACGCGATAGCCTTGTCTCCTCGGCCACATCCGCGTCACAGATACAAAGACAAAGGGTCTCATAAAGGTCTCTTCAAGCGCAGGCAATATCTTTATATTGTAAGTGCAAGTGAACTATCGCTTAGCATCCTTCACTTGCACATATTATCACTGTGCGCCTCTGTTGCTTTGTGCATTCTGTGGCTCGGATTTTTCCAACGACTTTCTGGTACATTCATTTTCTAGAAGCCCCACAACCATGGCGCCGAAATATATCTCATTTCCGGTCTTCGCCATCCTTATCTTTGCTTACTGTTCGTATTTGAATTATCGTCTGCTCCACTTTCATTTGATTCAAACTTTGTTCAGTATCCCTTCTTGCATGTGCAAGTCCCATCCCTGTCATTCTTCCACCCAGTGAGGGCATCACTCTTTTCAAGGATGTCATTGCGGTAAGCCATCTTTTCGTTTTCTGTAAGTTCTTGAATGAGAAGACGTGCAGCGTGATGTTTTACTCGAGGTTAACATGTTGACACGCGAGCCTGCTCTACTTTTGGAGCTGCATGAAGCCGATGCCGTCTTGGTGCGAGACGAAGACGCAGGACTTGTCGCAGAACCCTCCATACTCGTTGATGATCCTGGCGATGCTCTGGAAGCACGTATATGTCGTTATGGATGCCTTTGATTTTTTCTGGTAGGCACGTTTATATTATATATGGCTAGCTTTCTAGCTCATCTCAGGAGTACTAGTAGCATTCCTCGCGCTGACGTGCTGTATATCTACTACATCCATTCAGGCCGGTACTCTCTGGAGAGCTTGTGTCGTCTCTCCGTCCGCTCCTTTCTCAGTTTTTTTTCTTTCTGCTATGTATTTTTGATGGCCTATCCTCTGATTTGGTATGGATGAACTCGCTCGATGCGACTGAAAAATACTATATACCCCTGTCTTCATTACTGGCTTGTGTAAAATTGAGCTCAGTGTGCTCTCAATTTACCAGCTCATATCATATATCGTCCCGACCCTTGAGCCCACGAATTCACAACCTGCCAAGACGCCCATCGGATCTGCCAGCAGCATGCAGAAACTCATGCTGATGGTACCTTCCAAAATGGCATGCCCTTCTGCGATTAATTGCTAGTTAGCCGGAAGGCAGAATATTGCACACAACCGTCAGGGTCCTCTCGAGCACCGACTTGAAGTTATCCCCTTGATCCCAAACAGGCAGGTGCTGTAGATTAACTAGCGCTGGACCGGACACTGACGCAGATTTCTACTTCTCTTGACACCCAACAAGGGGACGTCCAAATACGTCGGTAATCAGGGTGGTCGTATCAAGGTTATCTCCGTACGGATAGAAGTGCGTACAAACGGAAGAGATAATTTAAGAACCAACTTGAAAGTTGGCACTGACGAACAAGCTAACGTCCTAATTGGGATTGAAACTACTCTCCAAATGCGGTCGTTAGCTTTTGAACCAACCTCCTTTGGCAATATCAAGGAGTCGAAAACTCACAGAAGCCGGCTCACGCAAGGTGGTATAAAGACGTTATCGAATAGATCTTATGACTCCACGAGCTCCTTGTGCACTCGACTCTTATTGTTCTGCGCTCAGAATACATTCTCCATCTAGCGCTTTGATCTGAACCTTTTCCCAAAAGTCAACAGAACAATAAAACCACTTCCCAAAACACTATGTTTGTCAAATTCGCTCCCATCTACGTTATCGCATGCTTTGCTGCTTTGGGTGCGTTTAATTGTCTCCTCCTGATATGTTTGCCATACTGACGGTTTATGTGATCGATCTGTAGCATCTGCGTCGCCTGTACCTGTTGCAGCTCCTGAAGCTGTTGCCCTTGCTAACACGGGGATTCTTGCTGTAAGTCGTTTTAGATTCGACAACAGATGAACAAACGCTTACGCCTGGTTTTGTAGCGCGAGGCTCTAGCAGTAGCAGAAGCTCTCTCTGAACGCGAACCCACTCCTGAAGAGTCAGAAGATGTCGAGGCCAGGGTCTGCCGCTATGGTTGCCTGTGATCGAATCCGTTCCCATATCACTTTTCGCGCTATTGCGATTTATCAGCGCCCCACTGTCCTTCCTGCCATTACACGCGTCTGCGGTCCAGCTCGATGCGGACCACCATTGACATACCCAGCCGCAATTTGACCTTCTCCGATGACCATTCCGGACAATATTCTGGATACCATTTTCTTACGCACGTTACGAGTTTTGTTTTGTTAATCGGCAGGGTTCTGTAACTGTATTACTTGAGTCATAGACGCTGTATTGTTATTCCTTTGCTTTCGTATGTTTTCTGTTATGGAATGTCCACACTCAACACAGCTGTTGTACAAAGTACTTAGGTACTTACTTCGAGCTACTACTTACATGGTGCCCGATATTATGAAGGAAAACCTGGATTGGTGTACACCACGTGATATTCGAGTGAGCGTTGAACAACTTTATCCTTGCGTCGGGCCCCTTTACCGCCTTCATGTTTACTGTGGAAGCGAAACACAGCAAACTCGCTATAAGCTGATAACGTGTGAGTACGAAATTAGCCAAAATTGTCAACACCCAATGATATTTCAGGACCGCGATGATTTGCGTGGTGTATTCATACTGACGGCAGATGAATCTGCCGAGGGTTATCGTAGTGAAATACTACACATTGCAATGTTGACTGGGATATCTCATTCATACCGTATGCTCCACGATGGACACATCGATTTACTGAACTTGAATGCTCTTCAAGTACTCCAAGCGGTAGGGGTTAGCATCCGTCTGGTCGCCACGGTTATGCGCAATCCATTTGGGCTCGTCCTGGAGCACAAGGGCGGTAAGAATACGAAAAAGAGAACAGACTGAGAACATACCTTGAACAGTCTCATGGTCCTGACGCGGTTGCCCATATCGAGAGTGAAGCGATGGTAAATACCCGCAGGGAGGACTAAGAGGTCACCAGCACCCATGTGGCAACGAATCCAGGATTCACTGGACTGTTCTGCGTAGCGTAAATTTCATCAAAAGCTCCAGGATTTCAAGCTGTTACATACCACGAACGTCAAAGAAGCCGGTGCCTTCCAGAATGTATCGGATTTCTTCATCTTCGTGCATATGCCTGAGATTATCAGATACATAGCGGTGAGTACATTTCGGATGAACGAAGACATCAGGTCTTACTCGTGGTAGAAGCTCTTGATCTTTGTTTCAAATTCATCACCAAGGCCCTCTTTGCTAATTGAAACAATATCGTGGTTCCTGTAACTCCTTTCCTTCGCAACAGCAGTAATCTCCTGCTCATACTTGCCCTCAGCATCAATGGGAATGTGCCAGTGCAAGACGCCAATGGACTTCAAGACCTCATCTGGAACGTCCATGCCAGAGTCATGTGGGAGGCGTTGGTCACCCTCAAGGTTGTCAAAGTAGTAAGCACGCATATTATAGTTAAGAGGATATCAGATAAGACGCGGATGGAACTAAGGGTATTCAGACCATGACGAGGCCATTATATACAGGGCCGTCAGCTGACCTCACAGGCGTATAATGATAGATCACTTACTCCGAATTTTGTGAGCAGCTAATTTCGGATGGAGGTATCCATTGGACCAAGTCCGTATGACGTGTGCAGATGCTCGATATGATTGATGAATAAGCCTATGCATCAAGGTCTAGGGTGGAGCGGGTGCTCCGTACGTTCCGTAGGCATCTGAGTCGGCGTCCTTTTTAAAAGTTCTAGTCACGGTCATCAGCTGGTGTTGGCCGCTCTTGAATCAACAAGTGGCACTCGTTTGTGGTGTGGCAGATTGAGGACAAGTTGGTTCCCTCCGATTCTATACTCGGAGAACCTGATACACACGAGAGAATACAAAACATTTGCCAGTCACCTCGAGATAGAACAAGGTCATTCAGTGAACGAGAAATTAGTGGTACATGCCCGTCACGTGACATTCGTCGAGCGTTGAACTTCTCTGTGACGTTAACGTTCATTCTTGTACATTCCTCCATCCCGGATTATACCTACCCTCTCGATAATGGCGACTGCTGAGAGTCCAAAGAACGTCGGCAGGTTTGAAAGCCAAAATTATTATGAAAACAATAGGCTAATCTCGCTTTTTCCTAGGCACTCGGATCTTCTGACTACTCTCCCAGACGTTATTCTGAGCCATATTCTCTGTCTTGTTTTCGATATGAACCAATGCACTACCAACGCGCTCATCATAAACCGGCGTGTTTTCTCATTGGCAAAACCTATATTCCTGTCCACGATCGTTTTACACTCGGAGCTATCAGTCTTACACCTCATACACCGTTGTATTTCCTCAAGTCAGACGAGCCTTACGGCTGCCGATAGGGAATACGTCAAGTGTATAGAAGTCAATTTCTTACCATCATCTCAACAGCAGACCCTCACGGCACCCAGCGTACTCAGCGCTGCTACCCCCTTTCCAAATCTTCACACTCTGAGGTTTCGTTTTAACATTGGAGTCCCGTTGACGTCGAGCTTGCCTACTCCAGAAATTAACCAGCAACTTGTCACATATACAGCTGCACACGCTCATTGGCTCAGGGTGGATTCGCCATTATTCGATCTCTTATCGAGCTTCAAACCGCAGCGTTTCGAATGGATTTCTGAAGTTTCTCGCGGTCGTTCTAAGTTAGGCTCACGCGTGGAGGGAATCGCAGCATCTATGGTCCGACCTATTCATGTTCTTGGTTTTCACGGTGCTCTCCGAGCTCTTATCAAGCGCTGGGACAGTCTTACACACATGTATCTGGATGGTATCTGTTTGCTTGCCAAACACTGCACATCGACCTTTCACCTTGCCCTCCTCGCAAAGCACATGCATATCACTGTGGATTCTCATCGGGACACCTTGCATCTCTTTTCTTCAGCTCCCCACGTTTTTTTGGGATCTCGCAAATGCGAGAGTCTGGTGGTTGAGCGTCCTGGAGCGAAGAAAGATCGGACATCCATCTATAATGCCGTACTTAGACCTGGAACCTTACTTTCTTTTCGCGGCTTCTCATCGGCTCAGTGCGCATTGTTCAAGTACACGTTTTTTAGCACAGAGCACCATCGATATCTCGGGCCGGTACCGCCAGAACAAGTCATCCGAACCGTCAGGGCCGGGGTCCACGAACTACGGGGGTTGAACATTTCTTGGCCCACTTCAGGCATGACAGCTGTCACTCGCCCTTCGGGAACCGCCTTGTCTCCTAACGAAGCTACTACTAGCCCTCCTACGCCCAGAGATTCCAAACCACGCCCTACGCTCGCTTCTGTGATATCGACAACTAGCTACTCCACCTACATCATTGGCTTCATCGCTATCCCTATTGCCATTTCCTTCACCATCTTGTATTTCATGTCATTACCCGCTGTCCACTATCTCCAACGGCGTCTTAATGCTGCCTCCGCTACGACTACCTCTGTGGCTGCCTCTGCGCCTACCGCACCTCGGGACAGACCTCGATCACGCGCAGCATCATCCCTTTGATGCAAAGCCGACTCGAAGTAGGTAAGACACTTGCCGAGCGAGATCCGACAGCATGATCGTTTTATTTTTATTCTATGTAGATCATCCTTGAAAATTTCTGTCAGTTTTACTGTAAGAATCGATTTGTAAATTTCAGCAGATGTGCCGTTGGAGTTTGATCTGATTGATTGGCGTTGACGTTGAGCGCTGAGCGTGCGAAGTGACATCCCCGCCATGAAGAATGGAGAATGTAATTGTTTTACCCCGTCGATTGCGGGTACTTTTGACCGTACATGCATGGTAATAATGCAAACGGTGAAGTTCATCCAATTCAAGTTTATATCCATTTCTCACTGATCATAGATGTGACATTTTGATGCTTGGCCCATGAGCGTGACATCAGAGACGAGATGCCGGTCAACCGATCTGGGGATCTCGGACAGAAGAAAGAATCGACTAAGTGCTTCTAGTTGTCAGCGAGCCAATGGTGTATATACGAGATCATGTAAGGTATCCGGGCACCACCACCAACAGTACAGTGAGTGTAAATGATAAGCATACGACATACAATAAACATCCGATGGATTCTGTTAGTAGGAGATGGAACTCTCTCGAGTCCCTTGGTATTCAAGGTTCACCTTGCCTCACAAGCAGAGGTTGGCCCATTCTAGGACTAGAGCTTTGCGCGAGGTTTCAATTGTCCTACCGCAACATCGGTCTTTGCACGCTCACGAAGCTCACGGCGAAGGATCTTTCCAGCGGCACTATTATTTCGCCTCATCAGCCAGGCGACAGAGGAAAGAGGCAGCAGTGTGACCAGACCTTTTCGGTACCTTGTCGATGATGACAACCCCTCCTCTTAGTCGTTTGTGTGACGCTACACGCTGTGAAACCCAGTTTTGGACACCTAGTGCGAATGAAGACACTTCCTGGGGGGAAAGTGGGCGAGAAGGCGTTATGTATGCGCTTCACAGTGAGAAGCTGTCAGCTTGATTCACTAGAAGACACTCATGGGCTCACCGAGGTAATTCCGTTGCTTCCTCCTTACTCTCAATCCCAATTACGGCTGCATCTGCGATCTCGGCATGCTGTAACAGCACTGACTCCAGCTCGGCGGGAGGAACTAGCACATTACCTATCAGTTGGGCGGTAGCATGGAAGAAATTTAAATGTAGGTTCACCTTGGAAGCCCTACGTGCGTGACCAAATGAGAAATGACAACCAGATGCATCGCAGCAAAAACTCGCCTTATATTTAATCAACTCTTTTCTCCGGTCCACGATTGTGAAGAACCCATCCTTGTCCCGCACGCAGATATCACCAGTCTTGAACCACCCATCAGGCGTAATAGCTTCAGCAGTTGCAGTAGGGTTGTTTAGGTATCCCTGATGTGAAACCGTGATCAAACTGGTTTGAAGAATATTGACACACGGAATACCTTCATGATCGTCGGCCCTCTCACCCATACCTCACCAGCGCCTGGGATATCTGTGTGCGGCTGTAGAGTTCATCATTAATATTGACCTGTCGTAGATAGCGTGAAGGAAGAAGTACGAACTTCGCCTTCAGTTTCGCCAACAAGTCTGACCTCCAAATTTGGAAGCAGAACTCCTGCCGCCCCAATATGACTGCTGGCGTCAGGAACGGGGAGGAGGAATACCGTCGGTGATGTTTCTGTGAGGCCATATCCTATGCAAAGATCTGAGACCCAGTACTCCCAAAAAGTGAAACGAGAGATGAAAACACACCTTGTAGAATATCCACATCTGCGCCAATACTCTTCATGCGCTCCATCACGGCCGAGACAAGCTCAGCTCCGAGAGGTGCGGCGCCTGAGAAGAGAATCTTAAGGGAGGTGAGGTCATGTTTTTGAATAGCTGAACGTAGAATTGTGTCAGAAGTTAGAATGGAGATAGATGATAGGGGGACAGGACAAGTGGGTATATGTACACACAACGGACCCCCAAAAAGGTTGGATCCAGGAGGAGCATTGGCACTTATATATAATGATGCGAGATAGGTCGATATATGCAGTTAGACCGGGAATTCAGGTGATGTGAGAAAAGATGGAGGGAGACCTGCCTGGGTGTCTCGCAAATACTACTAGCATTGGTGGGACAACAAAGCCAATAGTCACGCGGTATCTTGCGATAGTGGCACAGAAGCCATCGGGGTCGAACCCTGCCATGACAACCCCGGGTATGCCTAAGAATAACGGCAAATGGAGAAGTTTGACTCCGCCATAGATGTGATAATAGGGCAGACACCCGAAGAGGACATCTACACCACCTTGTGCAGGGATGGACGGAGTAAGGCATGGCTTGGAATTAGGCCAGACAGGTTTGAGTATCTCGAGGACGGAGATGATATTGTAATGTGTGGTCTCGACACCCTTTGGTTGACCTGTTGTGCCAGAGGAGTAGCAGAGATATACAGTCTCGTTTGACCGTTCACCGTCGAAACTGACTTCTTCTTTGAGCTCGCCGCGACCAAGTAGTTGAGTTATGGTCACGAGATCTTTCAGTTGGTCATCTGGAACAGACACGTTCCTGGCACCCATGATCCACTGAACTCCAGCCACGATGATACGGCTCCGTATTTCTTGCTCGGAGCATCCAAGGGATCTTAACATGGTCCGGGCTGTCCCAACCAGCGAAGGGTGGACAAATACAAGATGAGCTCCTGCATCAATGTATTGATACTTTAGTTCATTTGGGGTATATCCGCTGTTTGCAAGCGTCGCGCGGAAGCCAGCGGCCACCGCACCCAACAGCATGACAGGCCATGTGATTGAATTAGGAGAGAAAATGAGCACTGTCTTGGTGCGATTTTCTAGGGGAGATGGGAGGTTATGAAGAGAGAATGCTAACTGAAGAGCATATGAGCGAAATTCCCCACGAGAAATTGTTGTACCGGAAAGAGCATCTATGAATGCGGGTGATGAAGCGGGGAAGCCACCAACTGTGCCTGGGGAAGATGAAGAGATACCAAGAATATGAGTGAAGATAGAACGACGACAAATGTGGACAGACGGATAGGCCGACGTGTAGATGGTATCCGTCATCGTGTTGCTCGTTGTGCTGAAGCCTCAAGGTGGGAGTGAAACTGTATGATTCCCGTTCGGGATAGCACTACACTAGTTATTAGTGCAAAAGTTCTTTGTCAACCTGCAACAAATCGCGATTAACAGCGGCAGAGTTTATAAAAACAACGGCTTTTACGATATCTGTCAATTTCATTGATGCATCATTCCTATGTATGACCATGGGGAATCTGCGTCAGGCAACTCGAAGCGCTGCCAAGCGCGTAAGGTTTCATTCGGTCCAAATCGGCGGTCAACGTTCTGCCAGTGGTGGTTGTGCGTTTTTATTAGACAGCTACATGAACAGTACTGACGATCATCAAAAAATTTAGATGATTTCGAGTCTCGACTTCCAACCGCTCGGTGTTTCGATAGCTCGTGTCACAGCAGCCTTCGAGTTGGTCAGTCCATGATCAACCAAATGGTAGTAGTCCAGGAATATGCCATCACCTGACGACGGATCACTGGGATTCGGCGCTCAGCCAGGGGCGTTTTAAGTATTAAACCAATCTTAGCTTCAGAAGCTACGTACTAGTAGTAACTCGGAATTTTAGGTCTCGTAATGATTGTCATTGATCGACACTATGTACATATGTCAGTAGCATATCTGATGGAATTGTTCCAATGCCGCCCATATGCACGCATGGAGCTTGAATATACATGCATGCCATCTTATTGTAATATTGACCATCATAGTTTACTCCGCAACTCGGGGATTAGATCATTCCCTTGACCATCACGAAGGAAATCTCTCAAGTTAGTGAGCGCACGAACCTCCATGTGGCGCTGAGAATCCTGGTTCTCTGTTCCCATGTGGGGGAGGAGCACGTTTTGCGGGAATTCGAGTAAACGCGGATTGACGAGAGGTTCATTTGGGTATACGTCTAGGCCAACAGACGACAACTGTCCCGGTCGCAAATTTAGAGCAGGCAAGGAGAACAAGAACAATCTGACGCACATGACCATCTTCAAGAGCTCGAATCATCGCCTCCTCGTCGATGACCTTTCCACGCGCGGTATTCACGATAATGCTGCCCTTCTTCATCACCCGAATCTCCTTTTCACCCACCAAATGAACTGTCTCGTCACGTAAAGGGACATGCAAGCTCAGAACATCACTTTCTCGACAAAGCCCTTCCAAGCTGTCGATGTACTCGCACCACTCTGGTGCATTGGCAGACTTATTCCTCGAGTAATAGACAACGCGCATAGGGAATGCGTGTACTAGATGAGCAAGCCTAAGACCGATACCGCCGAGACCTAAGATACCCAGCGTGCGTCCCGTAACATCATGAGCCCGCCCAGGATCGAGACCCGATTTGAACGTCCCTTGACGAAGGGATTGTTCGGCCCAAGCGTAATTTCTGAGACAAGAGATGACAAGGTACAACGCCGTAGTAGCAGTCGCATCATCAACAGCGCCAGGGGTATTAGACACGCTGATACCTAAATTGGATGTAAGCCCGTGAAACATCATTGATGGAGGGCCCAACGGATGCAGGATATGGAAATCACCTTTGTTTGCGCATCGTGAGACATCGATCTGATCGTAACCCGCACCGTTATGCGCGATCCACTTAACAGTGCCCGTCTCAGCCAGAGCATCGATAATCTCTTCATCAAAGACACCGATGCGGTCTGCGGAGGTGTTGTGCCGGTAGATGCCCACGATTTGATCGTACTTTCCTCCTGATTTTAGCCCCACAAGGAAATCTGCGCGATTTGGAGAATCCATAACCTGGGACATGTGTTAGATGCGAATAACTCTTTATCGAGGAGAAATGACCATGATAAACGTACAACAAGATCGGCGAGCCCATCAAAAAACTGTCTGGCTTCTTCATGAGCCCAAACAAGGTTTCCTGCGAGTGCCGATCCTGTAAGTATATAGAAAGGTGGCTGCGACGGATCAGGGCTCACCACAAATCAATATACGAGGTTGGCGGGGCGACATTGTGCGAGTCTAGCGGAAGTGGGGGAGGCGAACAGGATCAGGGAATGATGGGTACTTGTTTGAGGATAGACTCGAACTTTAACATCATAACGAAATCGAATTGGGGTCAACTGATCAGTCAATGAGGAGGTTACGGAGTCGCGGACCGGATATCCGATGTTTTGGGTCTTATCTCGATGACCTCTTATCACCACGAGGTCGGTAGGCGTAGCGGGCATGCTATAGTCTCAGGCTGCAAGTCTACGGCAACAACAGCAAATGAAACCAGAAGAAAACGACTGTCCTCATTTTACAAGGTCTGACTAGCTTGCTAAGGGAAGCTAAGGCATAGCTGGCTAGCCCAAAGCTAACCTTAGGTTAAGTTCGTATAAAATGCGAGAGTTTGCATAAGCTTCTATCTTCATCTCGGTTGTTTCTCGTGCGCGTGCCCAGGAGTCCACGTGTAGCATCAAGATCATCAGGTGTTCTGAGCCTTGAGGAACTCAAATAAACTTGGGCTCACATTCGGTTCACGATAGCTAGGGAAAAAATCATCAGCACGTAGCAAAATCATAATAATCGCGAGTCCGTACATGCACATCATCTAGCGTCCTTATTAGCAGCACCTCTTCATCGACCACCTTTCCCCATGCCTCATGGCACGAATCTGCTACTCACCAACGAGATTAACGCCGTTGCGTTATCAACTGCAGTACTAGTGCCGGACGAGTTCGACGCACGACTTCCTGAATCAAATAGTGAAGAAAGAGTGAGCGAAGTGGAACTAGTACGGTACAGAATCTTGGAGGGTGCGGCGTCAGGATGTATTATCAATGAGATGAGTGATCATAGCTTGATTCGTTGTGAACAATCATTGGATGGCATCATGGAAGTTAATGCATTAGCAAAACGAGTTAGACGATCCGAAGATAAAATGACGAATTTGATTACATTGCTACTACTCGGCCCCACAATACACGCTGGCCCATCATGGAAACCTCAAATGAGGCAAACATTATGGATGTATGTAATAGTACTACTGATACAGGGGAGGAAGATATAAAACGATACAGGTAACAAAGATTAGTACAGTAGCTGACGAGGCACGATAGTACAGAAAAAATATGTATTAGGCTGGAAAACCCGTCAAAAACAAGTACGAAGGACAGCTTTGAAAGCTACTCACTAACTGCCCGAGACAGCTCAGCTTCAAAAACTCTCATATCAAATGCCTTCTTGAATGGTTCAAATAATTTACCGGGAACAGCAAACACAACTTCTTCAAACGAGTCTTTGAACGCCGCACGTGGGACAGTCGTCTTTCCATCTTCACGATTCTCTTCGCTTTCCCCGCGTACAAGGAGGTCTGCCCAGATCTCCGCGACCATTTCAACTTTGTTCTCACTAGAACCGCACCCGAACGCACCGAGGACAAGAGCTCGGTCACCGCGTGCCTCAAAGATGCGAAGTGCCCTTGCCATGCGATCCCGCATCTTGTCACGTATGCCGTCCACAAAGATATGAGCAGTTGATGTAGTGATGGTGTAGTTTTGACGTATTGCAGCTGCGTTAACAGGCACAGCTGAGAGAACATTAATAAGATAAGGGGGGATGAAGTCATTTGACGACACGGTCGTGAGTGGAGATGCGTTATCGCTATTATCTTGACGAAAGGCAACAACGCCCGGGCTATATATCATGGAGTGATCATTGAGACCAGCCCCGTCGACACTAAGAAATTTCTTGTGGGTGGTGTAGAACTCCTTAGCTTGGTCGACCCGAAGACTCGCTACAAGCGATGAAGACCTAGCGAGAGTCTCTTCTTGCTCATTACCGCCGTGCAGATAGCCTCCACCGGGACGTTTGGGTGAAGCGAAGGAAAGGACTCCAATCGAGGTAGTAGAGAGCGAATACGGCGAGCTACGAGTAAGATCTGGTCGCCGCTTGTGTAGTTGCCGAGCAGCCGTGAGCGTAGAGCCAGCAACAAACGAAAGACTAGTTGACTTGGTTCTGGAAGGAGGGACTGCAGGAGGCTTGCACCAGTCAGCCAAACAATGAGGGAAGAACGTTGTTCCCTGCTTGCTCAAAATGATTTGTAATGATATGTCATGTGTGACATGCTTTGTGGTCATGGTGTGCTGTCCATGAGAATGAGAAGGGTTTACTTGTGGCGAGGCGTTATCAGGATAAGAGACATGGGTAGGGGGTGTGATACATGAAACAGAAGTAGAAGAAAGTTTCTCTTCGACGTACTTGCCATCCCCAAGAACAATTCGTTCTGTCTCGTGAGCAGCTTGAGCCCAGCGTTCACGCCTTGCCTTTTGGATATCAAAAGCGAGCCGCCTCCGCTGCCGCTTGAGATGTTCTTCCTTTAAGTGCTGGCGTTTGAGGCCTGAAGATGAGCCTGCGGATTGCTTGATGGTGGAGACAGAACACATCGGAGTGCTTGATCGCATCTTCGATGCTGCCAGCTTGCGGTTAGTCTGACGAACCATAGATCTGCGAATAAGTTTCTTGGTGTTGTTCGATGGTCGTACTTGGTGGTTGTAGAAAGAAGGGCTTCAATGGTTGGTCTCACCGGTGATAGTCGATATTTGTATCTATTTGTTGTCTTTCTTCCACTCCATTCACAATTGCTCTGTGTCCACGACTGTCCACGGTGGCCACCATACTGGTTGCACACAAGGACTTTGTCCTTATCACTGGCAGGTTCCAGCTCACGTATCAACGCCGCTTACTAACTTACTTATCAATGCAAACCAGTTTCAATACCTCGTTGCGTGTCAATAATTGCCACTCCTCTGATGTGAATGAACTTTTTTTTGATGCACTCCCTTGCAAGCTCACGCAGTAGACGAAGAAGCGTAGTCCTGAGAAGTTTCACATATGAGCTTTTCGAGCACCTCAAATCCAATATCAATTGGGGCAGGGTACGGCCGTGGTGTCGATAAAATTGCATGCGAGTTGATCCAGCCGCGGTATCTGGTGATTTTTAATGCCACGCTCTTTTTCATGGTATCGCATTCATCGAATGACACTCGTCGCGCCTGTGACTCGTCATACTAGGTCATACAATGGTCGTACTCGGCAAAGTCTCGCACCCTCCTTCGTCAGGGATGAAGATAGTTCCATGATCAGCTCAAACAAAGAATGACTCGAGACGGTAATACAGGTGGTAACAGTGAGATTTGATTGCCCCTCCTCTTCACTCATCCTGAACGATGAAAGGAGCGTGGCTGCCATTCTCAAGCTGCGACCGTGCTTTCTCCTTGGCTCGGCTTCTTTTCATAGCCAGGTATCACCTCGACTCGGAAAGGCTCCCTCAACATCTTCTCATAGCTCATCTACAAGTAGTTTGTCGTGAGACTCCAAGAACTGAGGCCTCTGGATCTTCTAACCTGCACGGATAGAACTCAGGTACGAGGATGCCTACCGCTCAAGACGTCTAAAAAGGATTCTACAGAAGCGGTCGCGTACATCGTATTGCAACAGTCGTTGCATGTTCAAAACGCTGACCTCCAGTATACGATACGACCTTGTTTAACTTCCGTTTCAAGCCGACCAAAAATTGTTGTGTGAGTTAACACGCTATTCAAATTTGTGGAGTAACACAATCATAGATCATTATAGCACGATGTGTACACGTATTGCCGATTACGCTCTCCACTTTTTTGTACGGACCTCCGTTTCCAATTTTGCAAGAGTGGAGAGCGAGCCAGCTGACATGGCGTGTAATCCGGTAGCCTACATCCGTTTGCTATTTCCACTCTATCATTGACAGTGGCATTGCCGAATCTAACAAACTTAAAATTTTCACTGGTTTGAACAGTTGGTGTGAACAAGTAATCGACTCACCAGTGAAAGAGGAGCCTGGGTTATTCCATGACTGGCCTCATGACATGTGCCGCCGACACCATATCGTCAGGGGTTCGGTTGTGTGGAATGTCTTCATCCCATCACCATGTCCAAGTGCCACGCATAGCTTGACATCAAGTTAGACCAAGCAGCTTTTATCCGGGTGCCGTGTATCTACTTTCTCGATAGTATACTCGAAAAAGTAAGCGAACGATTTTGTCGTGTTTATCGGTTGGTGAATCGAATGTGCCTCAGGAGTTAGCATTCAGGTCTGCTATCCTGTACTGAGGAATTTTTTAACGAATGCCTTTGGTAGCGTATGTCTTTCATGCGTTTTTCTGAATTCACATAACCGTATGGCGATCAGTTGATTGCTGCAGGCATTGCGGCATGGACATGGTCTGCGATCTTGTCATGCAATGTTTTCCTTAATCTTCACTCAGAAGATACAGGCTCTATATCGAAGGCTCCGTTACAATGTTCTAAGTCATGTACGTGACCTCAACTGTGATCCAGGTGACTACTTCCTAATCATGTAGATGGTGTACCCGCTAGCCTTGCTGCTCAACCCCGCATGATTCCTGCACTGTGCTCCCCACTACAATGGACGTGCTGTTAACCTCTGTAGTTGGATATTAATGTCGCTTTCCAGCCGAAAACACTCGATGGTTGATGCCGGGAGAACGCCAATTGGCACAGGCGCATCTTGCAGAGGATGCTGGCGAAGCCGATCAATAATCTCCTGAAGTTTCGTATCTACCCTTCAGCTTAATGCATGAAATGTTGCTAAAATATCTTCTAGGGTATTCGATCAAGATGGCTACGAAAGATATAAACGTTCCAGTATGTGCTGTGTGCTGTTCGCAGTTGCTAGGTCTGAGTTTCGTCCAAATTTTCCCAATGTAAGCATTCCACACTGTACATGTTTCTTCTGGTTTTTATACAGCCAAACAACGCCTGAATAGATTCATGGAGGGCCTCAGTCTTACGAGCACCCTCGGATATTTGACAACTGCAACTTTTCTAATGTCTGCGCAAGTTGCTTGTGGCTCGCTCGACAAACACTTATCACATCTATTTCTCTAGTCGCACACGGATCTTTACTTCTATTCGCACCTTCATGTCGGAGCATGGGATGTCGGTGATTATCTTGAGACTGCCTCGATCTTCCCCAACTCATGCTTGTACTTCATAGATTAGATAGGGGAGCTCTTTTCCCATCAAACGGCTTGATGGTACGTGGTCATGGTCGGCTATATCAGTTCCCTATCACCCATAGCAACTGCCGGGAGGTATTTCAATGACCACCGGGTACTGCAGTATGTTTTAACTTGTCTGAAGTAGTCACAGCGGTCTGCGTGCTCTTTATGTTTTACTCTAGCATCGATCTGAGAGGCTAATGCGATTCCACGACCACCTGCGAAACGGTCTGTTGCAATGGGTTTAATCAACGAGTTTGGGGTAACATAAGAAAACGTGTAAGCATTTTATATATGCTACTATTGATTTGTGCACTAATAATCATTGTTCTTAGAATGGGGGATATACATTATTACATTTGGAAGGCAAATTGGAGCCTGTAATACCATCAATATATGATTATCACGTTATGCGCCCGCCGCCCTTCCACTTGCAAGTTTCCTTAGTCTTGGTAGGTGTATCATAGTGACTCATTACTCCATGTTTTAACTTCCATGAAGTGACACGTTGGATGTTAGTCCCTTCTCACAAGCCTGTACATTGGAACATACCTGTACGCTTGATCACACGTTCCTGGGGGAATGTTCCTTATACCAGTAAGAGTCTGGGATGTCCATACATTAAAGCCTGGTCATTTCAAAGCAGCTGTCGGAAAGAATGCTTTCACTGCTGATCCGAGGTGTTCCTACCTCTGTGTGGGGAAACACCTTGAAATCGATCAGACTCAGCGATCATATCACACACTCAGATCTATCTGACGGAAGATTTACCCCACAAGTATCATTCCAATTAATTCCCCGCCGTTTTTTCCAGCTCGTGTGCCATAATTGAGGACCGCCGGGATTCAGATCTATATTTCGGGGGGCGCTATTTGCACCGTGCGGTCATTCGTCCGGTATCGATTCAGGCTGAGAACACACAATTTTATACATATGTTTCCTCCACACATCAATATCTACGGCTCGACGAATTTGGTGATGGCTTTTTGCCAAGACTGAGCACGACCCGCCGTGAGCATCACTTGGGAGGTGAAAAACAATATATGGTAAGTCGAAGCAACCAAAATAATTTCGGTATCTCATCCCTCACAAATAGATTGGAGGATCAAATCTAAGCATATATCGGTATTGCTAGTTGCATCTTGTTCAACCTGCCGCAGCAACTTATCATGTCGCCATTTCAAACCCTAACCCGTCCTCGGACGGCACCCCTGTTCAACATATTGGGTCGGCTCGGTGGTTTTTCTGCGTTTCACAGGGTGCGCTGTTTGCGACCACTTGTGTGTGACAAGGCATCACTTCAGTGGAGTCAGATGACAGGCTACTTTTTAACTGTATGAGACCTGCGGGACAAGACGTCAGCTGAATATCCAAAGGCTAAAGAACCCGCGGTTGACCCCAAAGGTAAATGTAAGGCAAACGCTCCTGGCGGCTCAGGATTCCCAGCGAAGGGAAGTGGAACGCAACAGAACTTGGCGCTGGTGGACACTGATTGCGTGAGCCTGAGGGCCATAGTAAGCATACACCAAACATACACTGTGGACACATTCAACTGCAGCCGCGCGATCTTGGAATCAAGTATTGTTCTCAACAGTTGGAACATCACATTAATAGGCTACTATCACTTCAAATATTGTGGCAGGTAGTACATGCATTGACTCTCATTCTCATGTATCGTATACTAAATAAAGCATTCAACTAGATCGTGTGAAAGCTATTTGTCAGTCAAGCTGTACTAGTAGTTGGTGCAGGTTGGTGCGGCCTCGACGTGATTGCCGACTTGTGAATCGACCCTCTAAACCGTTGGCCATGTAACTCTTGTCCCCTCATATCCCCGGCATGGTATAATTAGACACGAAGTCGCCGATAATTCTTGTACATGCCGATATAGGGTCACGGAATTGGTGGAGCTAGTGTCAGTGGCAGCATTCGCTAAAACATATTCCCTGGTGATGGTATTCTGGTCGCTTTCCACTTCTGGACTGAGCGGGTTCATTTATTTCATTACAGGTATCACGATAACGCCTCCAGTGACCCTGATCCCTGGTATAAAAGCCAGCCATTTGGGTGGCTGGATTACCGCGCTAAGTCGGCGTAGCCTTTCGTTGATCTTCCTTGCCCTATATGTCTATCCAGGAAAAGAAGAAATCCGAGTCTTTTACGGAAAATGTTGTCCCAGTGCCGAATGACGGTGATGACTTCAGGCTGTTGAGTGCAGACGCGAGGAAGGCAGCAGAACGGGCACTGGTGCGCAAATTGGACTGCAGACTGATGCCTACTGCTGTGTTCATATACCTCTTGAACTATATTGATGTATGCACACATCCATTTATGAATCTCATTGTGCTCATGTATACTATCCATAGCGTGTTGCTGTTACCGCTGCGCGGCTGCAAGGTTTAGAGCAAGATCTCGGATTGACAAGTGAGTGAAGTGGACCACCGTATTATTCATGCTTAATCGATCCACTAGCCGTTCAGTATGAAACCATTCTGGCTATTCTTTATGTTACTTATTGCCCGGCACAAGTAAGCAAATTTTCTGCAGACTTATGCGAACTTACTCATAACATCTCATCTGCGACCAGATACCCTCGAACATGGTTTGTTTGTGTGCTATTATCTATGAATGTAAGACTGATTTTGATTGTCAACAGATTTTGAGCTATATTTCACGGTTGGTTGTGATTGCAAATATACCGATCTGGTCGATACTAAGGAGACGTGACTTAGACCATCTATTTATATTGGGGCCTGCGTTATTGGATGGGGTCTTACTAGTGCTTTGACTGGAGTAAGTTTTGTTGGGAAGTTGCAACTGCGATTCGTGCTTGCTAACCGCCGCGCAGGTCACTACTAATTATTCGGGTATCATGGCTTGTCGTGTATTCATTGGTCTTCCTGAGGTAATTTTTTCCTTTTTGATAACCATGTGCGCCCTGAACGAGTGCGGTTTTCCACAGGCTGCGTTCTATCCTGGTATCATGTATCTGCTTTCGCGTTGGTATACCAGGAAGGTGAACATTATATTTTTAGAATCATAGGTTGCAACTTATGCAACAAATTTAGGAGCTCGCCGTGCGGTCAGCCTGGTTCTATTGTGGTCTTTTAATCTCGAATGCATTTGGAAGCGTGAGCGTGTTGTCGTCGCAGGGACTGTGACGCCTTGATAACGATCCCTTTTAGTTGATTGCAGCTGGAATTCTCGCAAAAATGCAAGGTGTACTAGGACTTGCGGCCTGGAGATGGTAAGACAAAATCTGTATTCTTAGGAACAGTGCCCTAACCGGAGTTTCGTATCGCAGGTTATTCTACATAGAGGTATATGTTATACAACCCCTGGATATTGATCTTCTGTGCTGATTGGCCACTTTCTCGGCATAGGGTGCCATTACTATGTCCTTTGGCTTCTTGACCATGTGCGTTTTTGCGAGTTTCTATTCTTACTCAAAGTTGACAGCCACGGTTTTGTCCAGGTGGCTTCTTCCAGATTTTGTAAGCAGAACATCTTTAGAATGAGTTCCGGCCGGTCTAACATGACGTCAAATAGCCCCACAACACTCGATGGCTTAATGCAGCGGAACGCCGCTTGGGTCAAGTTCGCCTTGCAGAAGATGCAGGGGAGGCCGACAGGGATTCTGATGATCTTACGTAAGCCCAGCTCGAGTTCCTATTCAAGTTGCTGACAAGGTGCTACTTCATATAACTTTTGTTAATCGGAAAATTGTTCGGAACATCACAGCATTTACGATGGGTTGTGGATGGCTATCAAGGATCCAAAGACCATCATTTTCATGTTTATGGGCTGCTCGCAGCTTCTAGGCCTGAGTTACATCAACTTTTTCCCCACGTAAGTATATGAACAGTCTTGTAGCTATTGCGCTAACATCTAACGAGATAGCTTGACTGCCACGCTTGGTTACGGCAATACTATTACATTTTTAATGGCAGCGTAAGCATGACATCCCATTGTTACATGCACAGCCGCGGCTCACTGTCTGATCGCCAGTCCTCCATGGATATTCGCATCAGTCTGCTGCGTACTCAACGCATGGCACGCAGGTACGTCTGATCCCTGGTAATGCACCACAGTCATTTTGACAGAATGAATAGATAAGTCTGGAGAGCGATTCTTCCATATTGCCGGCTGGTGGTGGGTAGTCATTCTTGGATATATCGTCTCTCTATCCACCATGGCTACGGGCGGGCGGTACTTTTCCTTGTTCCTGATGACCACAGGATATTGCGGTGAGTTCTGATTATAACGCTGAATATAAGCCTGACACGTTTCCAAAAGGATTCGCCTTGACATTGACCTGGGTTTCAAACGCCATTCCTCGTCCACCGGCAAAACGCGCCGTAGCCATGGGTCTTGTCAATGGGTTTGGAAACCTCGGTAATATGTAAGGCTTTTATGGTCAGCATACTGTCGGATCGCTTACAGTATTTCATAGGATGGGGTCGTATGTCTGGAATGCTTCGTGGGGTCCTCAATACCATCAATCCATGATCATAGCATTGTGCAGTCTCGTTCTGTCCACAGTCCTGGGCTTTTGTGAGCAAAGTTACAACTTGACCATTCTGATTTACTCACCTATTGATAGTAATGCGGTGGATATTAATTAAAGAGAATAAGAATATGGATATGGAGGAGAAAAAATTAATGGAGGGCCCTGGCCGCGCACGTATTGAAGAGGCTGCTAGATTGGAAGGGATTACATTCGAAGAGGCTATGAAAAGAAGGAAGGGCTTTAGGTACCTCTATTGATCTTTTTTGCTTCAGATTATAGTGCTTCGGGGTCAGACCCTATATTGTTGGACATAGCTCGTCATAAGCCCTTAAGTGTGACTTTGTCTATTGATATTTAAAGTTTGTACCAAACACATACAAACATGCTGCGTTGAGTCGTTCGCAGCTTGAGTGAACTTTTTAATGTAAATGACTGTGGTCCGCATTATGTTGCATGAAGTTGCTATCGAGTGGTCTTGCATCCATGCAGTTACTTCTCTGCCATGAAAAAATATGTTTCTGCGACCTGCCACGCTGGCAGAACCTGCCAGTTCTGCCCACGGTGACCGGGCGTGATGATATCTTATCATCCGAACTAGCCTGAAAATCAACCAGCCGGCACACTACGACCATAACAATAAACCCGGAGTAGATTACTTAGGCTTCGAGCCCCAGTTTCTGACACGATCGGCTATCGCTCATCGAGAAGTTGGACAGTCATACTACACCAGTTGAACGGTATGTCCATCATGAAAGATAATCATTTGATAGCATTTTGCTGACAAGTTACCGTTCACACATCTCTTGGTGGAAATTGGGCGTTCTGTTGTGCAGAACGGTTCAACCATCATGAATTAGTGAGAACATGTAATCATTTGATAACATTTTGCTGACAAGTCATCGTTCACACATCTCTTGATGGCAACTGAGCGTCTTTTGTGCAGAACCCTCCAACCATGTCATGGCATTGCCACGGCCTCAGGCTTCCATGCAAATAATATCAACTACTGCAGTTTTGGAAACCGCTCGAAACTCAAATATTGATGTTCAGTGGCACCTGACGTTCAGAACCCTGCTCACTTACTGAGTAATGAGGGCGTGAGCTTCCACAATGCATTTCAAACAGCCAACCCATGGCATTGCGGCGGTAGACTATTTGGGATTCCAGGGTCCTGATGATATCTTATCAATTCTCAGGAGAATTCATGCACGTTGAACTCGGGCGTACGCCAAGGAAACGCGCCTGATGGGGATAGACACTGCGAAGGTCTGCACTGTTAATCCTGTGATAAGCCATTGAGCCTGTGGAATCAATCTGACTGAATGCCTGGGGTAGGCCACCTCCTGGGAGCATCAGAAGCTTTCGGACCTGTAGCCGTCCTCTGGCTGGAAGGACATGTCGCAAGATGGAAGGCTTCAAGAAGTGAAGCTTTTGGTCGCTCCCCTGTGGAAAAAAATATAAAGGCTTGCCAATTGATCGCTCAGCCTTCCATCACCTTCCCTCTCCCGTAAGCTCCTTACAAATACTACGACTATGACCAATAAGGCAAAACTCGAGGCACTCCTGACTCTGATCAACACATCCGCACGAGATGCCATTGCGTTGTACGAGCAGTATGGTGATGTTCCCGCCATCGACCAGGCCGAACTCCACCCATTGGACAATGCGGTCGACCAGGTGGCTTTGAAGAGTGCCGTTCGTATTCTTGAAGGTGCTTGTGCTCAGATATGCACGACACTCGCTCCACCTGCCCATACTGCGGTTAACGTGAGAACTTGGATGATATAATCCACTTTCCTTTTGCTCATCGGATTGCACGCAGCTTGTCCAAGTGTATGATCATGCTTGCGTGCGAGTGGTTGCTCGGGAACGTGTTTCGGATATTCTGTTGAAGTACCCCAAGGGTCTTCACGTCAGCGAGCTCGCCAAAAAAATCAACATAGAGCCAAAGAAACTGGCCAGGATCATGCGCCTCCTAGCCACGAGAGGTTGCTACAACGAAGGTAAGGAGCCATTTGTTGCCTGGTTCGAGTTCTTCTCACACTGCGGCAGTCGACACGGACGTTTTTGCCAACAACCGACTATCTCTAATCCTACTCGACGAAAATCCTGTCAAATACATGATCTTGCTTCATG